TCCAAGACTCCGGAAAGAGATATCGACAATCTGACTTCATATCCTGCTCCTAACAAATTATATGAGTCTACGTTCAGAAATAGAACCGGCTGCTATTAATATTGAAAGAGATATTACAAAATGTCTTACTTGACACGGGTTCTTTAGTTTAAATCAAATTTAACCACACAATAATCTTAGTTAACTAGTGTAACCTCCCCAGTCCCCACCCATGATGGAGTAGTTAATTGGGGAGGGGGCAATGTCCCTAATCTCCCCCCTGTTTGCACCCTTGCATGCGATTAAAAAGGCAGATACAATATTCATTAAATTCAGCGTGGCTCAAAATTCTAATTTTTTAAATAAAAAATTTCTTGAAACCTTGTACATCATTTTCTCCATCATAGTCCTGTCCAGTTTCATTCCCCTCCTCTTTTAATAAAAAAATGTAATAAAAAATCCCTTTTATATGATACAGAGAAACATTCAAACTATCATTATATCTAGAAAATCTAAATTTAATTTCAAACAAACAGATTAAAACATGCATTACTTGTAACTTAAGACACATCGTTTTGGCAGTTCGTTCATTACAGGTTTATAAACAAAACATTTTGTTTCATAGCGTGTTAAATGTAGGGAAGAATTTTTACTTTTTTATTTTAATCAACAAAGATAGTGCGACGAATGCGACAATTCTGTTAACTGTGAAACCTGAATTTTTATTAGTTTTCCTTCTGATTCCTGCAAAAAAAGAAATTTTAAAAAATTTCCTCTAAAAAAAACAATTGGCGCCAATTTATGTGAATATTTTAAAATGAATCTTCATTTTCGGCAACAAAAAAGTAGGACAAATTACGGAAGATTTTAGCAAACAAATCAGGAAAATACGATACATTAAAAAAACATGCAAAACTAACTGTAGCATGCCGCCTAGCCTCAAACCGTCCACTGTTCTAAATGTCAGCTAATAAAAATGTTGAAAAATATTTAGGAGGGGAACATTACTTGTCAAAATATATTGACAAGAGACCTGCAGACGAGGCTAACACAGGCACTGGCACTGGTGCTAAACAAAACATATATTTGTCTTGAGAAAATTCCATTTTATAACAAAATTAATTTCCAAGAAAGTTTTGTGACTTTGTCAAGAAAATCTGTGAAAAAGCATGCTCTTAAGGTGCGGGTGCTAAATAAATATGTTTTATGAAAAAAGTCTAATTTAAATTAAAGACGACGTTTGAAGTACTCAAATTTTTTCACTAAATTGACCAGAAACCTTCAGATTCAAATTCATCGCCACGAATGTCTGCCTCTAAAAAAGTAAAATTTTAATTTTATCCAAACAAAAGACGACATTTAAAACTTTCTTGAAAATTCGCGAAGATTGTCTTTTTGTTTACTTGTTGTAGTAACGTTAGAAAACCCAGTAGTAGTAAACATGGTTGCTCCTTCATAAACCGACGACGACGCTGAAATGAACAGGTTAAAATTGGGAATAGTTACTTTTTCAGGAAATATCATAAAAAAAAATTAGGTTTGATTAAGACCGGAATTGGCCAGGCGGCATCGCATCATCTTACATAGAATTAATCACAAGAAAAAACAATGAAAAACTGGTTATGATTTACCAAATTTCTGAAAATTTGTAAAAATTCTATTTTAATTTTGTTGTGCTTTTAGCTCGGTTCGTAGTACAATAAAAAGGTAAAACAAAATTTTTTGAAAATAAATCGTTCTTAAAAAGGTATCTAACTTAAACTTGAACTTTCAATCAATGCATTCCTAGTTCCTCTAAATCGATATTTTAAAAAGCAGCCATAATAATATAAGTAATTTTTAAGGTAAAAATTGATAACTCGCATGCAATGGGACAAAACAAACAATTCAATGGATAACCTATTTCAAACCGATAAAGAATCTATAAAATTCAATCAAACAGTGATCGGGTTAAAAAAATGCAATCAGATAATGATAATGAACAACATCCTCCCCCATTTGAAAAAAAATCAAGCAAACATAACTCAATTTAAAATGTGTTTTTATTCTAAAAATGTACTTTAATTGCAAAAACGCACATTGCACTTTTCAAACCCCCATGTTTCCTATCACAAAAGACCTAATTTCATAAATCCTTAAAACCACTTAATCAAGTCCTGAATTTGAACAATATGTGTAACTGCTGCTGCTATAAGATCTATGGGAACCTATTATTGAGTCAATGAAATAAACTAAGTTGGAATTATTAAAAAAAATTAGGAGTGTGAATTTTTTTAGAATTCACCCCCCCCCCCCCCAAAATCATTTAGCGAATAAAACCCTTGAAAAATTCATTTTCTGTGACATTGCAGAAAAATCTAAGTTGCCCAACCCCCTCTCCCCCTTATGATTATTTTTTTTTTCCAAAAATGCATTCCTATTTAGGTACAAACACATATATTGCAAATATCGAATCCCATTTTTCTTCAATCACAATTACTGAATTTTATTGATCCTTTAAAACAACTCAATCTTAACCTGAACCATATTTGTTGGACCTAAATTTAGATTTAGATCTAGATCGAGACCCTCCTAGTATAAAGGCAAAGTGGGTGAATAAAATACCATCTTAGGATTGCATAAGAAATCGCGTTTAAGTTAACTCTCGAAAGAAATTCGATTAAAAATCTTTTTGATAACTTTTGTTTATTTTCTGAAGAGATTATGATTTTTTCCAAAAGTTGTTACATGCCACATTATCACAATAACATTTTCTGTGTGTAATTACAACATTTTGGATCAAAAAAAGTTTTAAGCCAAAAATATTCATAAAAAAAACAGTTTTCTAGTAACACTTAGTACATACTGCATTGGATTTACGATAATAAGATCAATATGCAATAATATTATTTTAATTTCGCAATAATCATTCTCTTACAATACAAATTCACTATCAGTAATTATGCATTTTCTTTGATTCAAACATTCAATAAAACATTATTTTTCAATATAAAAATCAAGAAAACATGTTTGTGTTTCCTCTCAACCTCTCATAAAAATGAGTTTTATTAGCTCGACTTGTTTAAAAAAGCAAAACAATAAACACTTCAGGGGACACTGGACAGTAAGCTAAACTTCACGCGGCCGTCCAAGCAAAGATGGCAATGTCCGACTCACAACGGTACCCTTGAAACCTTGATTAGATCAATATTGTGCAGTAGCTTTTCTGTAAAGTCTATCTATGCTTTTCTTCGTTGGAAATGCGCAAGTCTTTTATGAAAAGAAACTTCCTCTGACAAAGCTTTTAGGGGTACATTTCTGAATCGGGCGTTGCAGTCTTTGCGTAGTGTGTTACTTGAAATTACACTTGCAGTCCCTTTAATCATCTACATTTTTCGGTATTTTTTTTTGTTTTACCTGAATACCCATAGTTCACATATTCTGGCTCTTCTACTTCGTCTTAAATAAACATCATTAAGGTTTTCTTCAAAGAAAAATTAACAGAAAATTAAACTTTTTCTAGATTGACAAAACAAAAAATTTAGATTTGATATTCTTTATTTGTGCTCATGTGTTATAAAACTATAAATAAATCCAATAATAAGTGATATTTAGTATATTGAAGCCTCGAAAAAACGCTTTTTTGCTTCAACAACACACATATTTTGTGCCAACTAATATATTAAAACTGTATTCATAATAATGGCATGGTAAACCAATTTTTAAAATAAAAACGAACCGTATGTTTAGGAAATTTGATTTTAATTAAAAAGAATTATAGCAAGCTTTCCTCGCACTAATAACTACAGGGTGTCCCACGAAAAATGACTTTAGATAGATGACTTGAAAGTCATCTTTGATCTTGGAATTTGTTTATGACATTCAGTCTTCAACCTAGTCCTGGTCTGCAATTGTGGTCTGCCTTTTTTGTGCTGTCAATATTACCGGAGATATTAAGAATTTAGATCAGATTTAAATTTTGTTAAATAAAACAAAAAATGGCAAAATCTGACCAAAATTCTTCATATCTTGAAATATATTGAAAAAAAACAAAAAAGGCAGACCACATTTTAGAAATGCCAGGACAAAGGTACTTCGTGAATATTATCTCTAGAATTTTACATCTAAAATTAGGTTGACAAATAAAAGTAAAAAATAATATCAAAATCCAAGACGATGTTCCAGTCGTCATACTACGGTCATGTTTCGTGGGACACCCTGAATGCTAGAAAATGTAGAACATTTACCTCCACTGTAAACTTCTAGGGTCTGACAAGCTGTAAAACTTGGCAAATTAGAAATAACACTCATTCCAGCGTTGGAAAATTCCTAAACGAAACTTTTATAAATTGAAATACTTTTGTTCAATTTGAGAGAATAAGAATGAGATTTTTTAATTGGGTTAAGCTGCTTAGTTTACCCCAATCAACATGGGCACAGCGAGTAACTTCGTTTAAAACTTTGTTACAGATTACTCCACGCTCTTTAGAACTCTGCCTTATCATGGCCTACATAGTTTCATGATCGTTCGTTCATCGTTTGTGAACGACCATTTTCATTCGTTTTTTTACAGTTCAAAAAATTTATTTTGTGTGTTCTTAAAATGTTCGTCCATTTTCAATCTATTACTTTCGTTTTCTCAGTAAACGATCGTTCATCCTAATAGTTCATTCAATAAAATTGTTCGTTCATGAAAAAAAACTATTGTTTTTTTAAAAAAAGATCGTTGTTGTCAAAACTGTTGGAAAATTCATGGGCTCAGTAAAACCCGATCGTTTTTTATTGCATGAAAGACCGATTTTTTAACAAACTTTTTAAAAACAAGAGGGGTTTTCAAGTTCGTTCGTTTTTAAAAACGATAGTTTTTTCATTGCTTTGAACGATCCAAGTCAGTCATTTTTTTCTTAACAACATCATCGTTAACTGAAAATTTCGTTCGATATCCCCATATCTACCCTTTACAGTATAAAAATTGATACTTACATCTAGAAATTTAGCTAGGACTGGACACTTATTTCTTAATTCCCAATTTTGTGAACTATAATAATTCGTTCTTTGGGACTTCATAGTCTCCCTAATATCTCCAATCACCTTTTTTGATACCTAAAATAATTCTTCTAAACATTTTAAAATAATTTTAACTTCAAAATTTTTTTAATCATACAGGGTTACCCACAAAAAATGAGACTTCAGAGACAACTGTACGGAATTCATACTGTCTGTTTCCTGATACTTATGATTCTCTGCAACTATGAACCCTGATATTTATGATTCTCTGGAACTATGAACCCTGACATTTATGATTCTCTGCAACTATGAACCCTGATATTTATGATTCTCTGGAACTATGAACCCTGATATTTATGATTCTCTGGAACTATGAACCCTGATATTTATGATTCTCTGGAACTATGAACCCTGACATTTATGATTCTCTGGAACTATGAACCCTGATATTCATGATACTCTGCAACTAAATAGACCATTAAATGACCACATTTAATGCAAAAGACATAATATAAACTTGGGATCGTCATATTTTAAGAGTTTCAAGTCGACTTTACAGTTTCATACTTTTTGGGTAACCCCGTAGGACATAACTTTGCAGTATTTGGGCCAGGTAGATTCTCTAAATACCCGTTTGGTATGTTAACTGTGTAAATGCAGTAAACGGAGTATATTGAAATAAACAGTTAGAAAGAGCAGAACTAATCAAGATTCAACTTAATGGGACTGTAAGCGTAATTTCCATGCAAAGATAGCCAAGCCGATTTACAACGGTACCCATAAAAATATGACTCTAACAATGTGTATTTGTGTGCATCTCTCAATTGTTTCTTATAAAAGTAAGATATCCTCGAACCCTGAACCAAAGCACTGCAGTTTAAAACATGAATGTTTAACCTTATTCGGATTTCCCAGTAGTTCTACAGATTTATCCACCATAGACAGACCACACAAAGATCCTAAACGTTTGTTTGTAATATTGGCATTTGTAAAATATGTGAAAGTTAAAGGGAGTGACCGGCAATGTCTGGTGGTTGAACTGAGAATGCAGTAAATTGTGAACATATTTTTTAGGATTCATTTGAGACTAACAAAACGTTTCCACGATGTATAATTACTAAGTTTGAGTGCAAAGTCGACATTCGAAATCATAAATTTGGGTGGGTTCGTTTTCAGAATCGTTTTTTTTTAAATTATTAAATAACGACAATAACAAATGTAAACAAAATTCCACATAAACTAATTAGTTGTTTAGGAACAGGTTGAGAAAATAATAATCAACTCTTATCATAGAAAATAAGTAATCTTATTCAATTATTAGTTTCTATAATCTCTCATTATTCACACAGATTTTCTGCAGATTATCTAGAATTTTTATTGAAGCCTAAAATATTTGTCCGCAATACTACAAATTCAGTTGAACCACCATACATTGCCGGTCACTCCCTTTAATAAAATCTTCCCTCGTTAAGGGTTTAAAAGACAGTGAACAGTTTATAAATTAGTTTATTTATTTCTATTAACTTTAAAAAGATGATGCACCCATTAGTTTTACTGTTTTACAGAAGATAGGTGTTTTATTACATTGCTATCCTCATTGTAAATTCAGTCACAAAATTCAGTAAAACAAAACTACCTGCCAACGGAGAAATCATAGGTTAATAATTTGTGTGTGCGATTATCTTTTTATTCTTTATTTTAGCTCTATAGGCATTTATGCATTTATGCCCTTATAAATAATTCTTGCTGATTTTTAAAGTTTTTTTCTCTCATTTTTCTTTTATTGAATATATAATCATCAAGTTCGCTATCTTAGCTAAAATAAAAGGGCGACCAAGCCACTTTGTAAATTCATAAATCCATAATTTTTGCCGTTTTATTAAAATCTTATCTCTAGTTCTTCTAATTATAATTTAATGTATATGATTCCTTGTGTTTAATAAAGTATTTGAGAAGAAGAAATCTTTTTATTCTTACCTTTGTCCGTTTGCAAATTTAGAACCACGGTAGACCCAGGAGAAGTCTAAAAATAAAAATAAACTTTTAAAAAAAGCTATTTCTCAATATATTTCTTGATCACTCATGAATAAAAAGTGAGTTATCTCTTTAGAAAAAGCTATTTCTCAATATATATCTTGATCACTTATGAATAAAAAGTGAGTCATCTCTTTAAAAAAGGCTATTTCTCAATATATTTCTTGATCACTCATGAATAAAAAGTGAGTCATCTCTTTAAAAAAAGCTATTTCTCAATATATATCTTGATCACTCATGAATAAAAAGTGAGTCATCTCTTTAGAAAAAGCTATTTCTCAATATATTTCTTGATCACTCATGAATAAAAAGTGAGTCATCTCTTTAGAAAAAGCTATTTCTCAATATATATCTTGATCACTCATGAATAAAAAGTGAGTCATCTCTTTAGAAAAAGCTATTTCTCAATATATATCTTGATCACTTATGAATAAAAATAAGCATGTTTCAATATTTAAATCAAAAATACAAATACAACTTCCTTCTATTTTCTTAATTAAAAATACCAATAATCCTCCTATTTTCTGAATAAAAATAAGCATGTTTCAATATTTAAATCAAAAATACAAATACAACTTCCTCCTATTTTCTCAATTAAAAATACCAATAATCCTCCTATTTTCTGAATCAAAATAAGCATAATGCTTTAATATTTAAAATAAAAACTACAAATATAACTTCCTCCTATTTTCTCAATTAAAAATACCAATAATCCTCCTGTTTTCTGAATCAAAATAAGCATAATACTTTAATATTTAAAATAAAAACTACAAATATAACTTCCTCCTATTTTCTCAATTAAAAATACCAATAATCCTCCTATTTTCTGAATCAAAATAAGCACAATGCTTTAATATTTAAATCAAAAATACAAATACAACTTCCTCCTATCTTCTCAATTAAAAATACGCAAAACTCTTTAATTTTCGCAATCATGTACACAATCATGTACACAGCAAAAAGTGCACTTTCTATCTATAAACATCCAGTCCCAGGAACTGTAATGATATTTTAATTTTATATTTGGTAAATATTGAGCCATAAATTGAGCATATTTAATAGAAATAGTTTTTACATCCATTTTTCAAGGGCTTTCTAAAATTGTAATAAAAAGTTCATGGACTATTTTTGATTATTTTTAAACACTGATCTGCATCCCTATGTATCAAAATTAAAATTTGAAAAAAGTGTTCATTAATAAAGTTGAAAAAATTACGAAGCTAAGGCTCTCCAAGGAAAACTGTTTTTAGGTTAGGGGGGAGTGATGGGATTAAAGCGGTTTTCCAAACCCCAAACATTGTTACTAAATATGTGTGAAGAGTTGTCAATAACGGATCCCACCTAGAGATGCCAAAAAACGTATTATCATGTTATATGGAGAAGATATTTGGCAAATTTAAAATAAGTAGCAAAAAACTTACATAAACCTTTCAATACGTTGGCATAACATTTCAATCAGGAACAAATAGGATAATTTTTATATAAAAAATATTCATTATGAAACAATTAAAGAGCCAAAATATATTGAAAATTTTAACACCAAAATCAACCACGACCTCTTCTATATTATTTATGAATTAGTCTAAGAACATGAGAAGCCTAGCGGTGACATTTTGAACTTTAATCTGAAAAGTTCCGTACAGTTGCAGCCTTCAATTTCCTTATCACTATAGATAAACAGAATAGTTGTTCTTATCTCTCAGGTATTCAAATACACAAAACACGCATACATATTACATATTGAACATTAAAAAATTCTGTTTTAAAGGGATAACCGGAAATGTAAGGTAGTTAAACTTATAATTTAGTATTGTGAAGAACTTTCTTTGGAATAATTTGAGACATACAAAACGTTTTAAAAACCGGCTATGTAAGGTATTTAAACTGAGTATGCAGTGTTGTGGAAAAATTCTTTTGGATTCATTTTTGACATATAAACCGTTTCCACGATGTATACTTACTGAGTTAGAGCGCAAAGTCGACGTTCAAAATCATAAATTTGGGTGGGTACGTTTTCAGAATCGGTCTTTTTTAAATTATTAAATACCAACCACGAAAAATAATATAACAAAAATTCTGCAGTAACCTATTTAATTTTTTAGGATCAGAAAATAAAAATTAAAACTTGAAATAGAAAATAAGTAATCTTTTTTAGTTTTTTTTTTTTTTTTAGATGTCCTATTGTTCACAAACGTTTTCTATAGATTTCCTGATATTTTTATTGAAAAGATGACATTTGAAAAATGTTAAGAAATCTGCGAACAAATTTGTAAAGAATAAGAATAATGATGAAAAAGCAAAAAACTTGATCCTCCTAACATTGATTTATTTACAAATTGAGAAAAATGTTCCTAATCATTTGTTTATTTTAGTGCAGAATTTGTTATACAATTTTCGTCATCGTTATATAATAATTTAATAAAAACCAATTCTCAAAACGTAGCCACCCAAATAGATGATTTTGACCGTTGACTTTGTGCTCAAACTTAGTAATAATACATCATTAAAAACCTTTTATATGTCTCAAATAAATCTTAAAAAATTTCTCCGCGATACTACATTCTCAGTTCAACTACCTTAAATTGCTGGTCACTCCCTTTAATTTAGATCTTTTTAATTTAGTAATTTCAAAATAATGATATTTCTCAGAACATTCGGAGATAACTTTATATTCTAACAAATTGAATGCGTTTAAAAAAATGTTAAATAATAAACATTGGTGATATGAAACCAACCTATAACACACGAAGTAAAGTTTTTTTGTTAAGAGAAGATTTTAACTACGCACACTCAAAACTGTATTTCTTTTTAATTTTTTAATTCAAAAAACTACATTTTCTTATCTTGAATAAAAAGACCAACCTCTGAAGTGCTTAATGAGACCTCCACGGGGTTCTCAAGACAAAAGTTTACTCCCATTTCATGAGAGTCAGTCAGAGTTTCATTCCCATCAGTCATATAGGTAACAATCTATGATTGAAATTAAAGAAATTCAAATGAAAAAGGTGATTGTAATCACAGAACCAAATTGGAAGAAAAAACAGTCAAAAATAAAATTTTAAGCATATTTTTCCTTTTTCATTTCCAATCAAAACCAGGACAGTGAGATTAAAAAAAATTTCGTTGTAATTTCGGAAAGAGATATAATTTGTAAGTATACCATCCTATTTCTGTTTGCAAATTAATCCGAAACTTACTGTAGAGAGAAAAAACAGATGAACGAAATGAAATTTCAAATAGAAAAAAATTCTGATATTTGCTAATGTGAAACAATAGGCTACTAAAGGAAGGGTCCCTTAAAATGAGGCTTATAGTTCTTAATAGTTAAAAAAATTAATTATTGATTTCATTTTTGTTATAATATACCTTAACCGTAGGGAATGCTTTGTGGCTCTGAGCCTCAACTTCTATTTCAGCTTTCTTTATAATTGAGTCAGGATTCTCAGTTAGTCCCTCAATACTAGATAATATACTTTCTTTATAATCGAGTCAGGATTCTCAGTTAGTCCCTCAATACTATTTATAATAGAGTCAGGATTCTCAGTTAGTCCCTCAATTCTATATAATATACTTTCTTTATAATAGACTCAGGATTCTCAGTAAGTCCCTCAATACTGGATAATATACTTTCTTTTTAATAGAGTCAGGATTCTCAGTTAGTCTCTCGTTACTAGATAATATACTTTCTTTATAATAGACTCAGGATTCTCAGTTAGTCTCTCGTTACTAGATAATATACTTTCTTTATAATCGACTCAGGATTCTCAGTTAGTCCCTCAATACTAGATAATATACTGTCTTTATAATAGAGTCAGGATTCTCAGTTAGTCCCTCAATACTAGATAATATACTTTCTTTATAATAGACTCAGGATTCTCAGTTCAAAAATGAAAATTCTTAAAACTTTTCTTACAATCAGTAAGACTTTCTATTGGAATGAAAATCCGCGAACAAAAATTGCTTAATTACTTCAATTCAGTTCTACCATCCAGCAGATCACTTCTGTCATCTTCTCCCTGGAGGGCAATTGTTTGACTTCCAACACTAAAAAAGAGATTTTAGATATTCGTCTAGTTTTCAATGTGTGTTTTTTTAAATCCAAATTAAGCTTTATGAAAAATTTCAGAAACATTTTCAAAAATAGTGTTAAATACTTTAATTAAATACTTTAATTAAACCTCCGAAAGAAATTAATTATTCAAGCTGAAAACTTTTGAATCGTAATAACGAAATTATTTTTTTTAAAATTATTTTTAGATTAAATTTTTTTAACAAAATTTCAAAAGAGCAGTGATTTTTTTTCAACGACCGTTGTATCTTCTTTTTATCGGATCATACATCTGTTTTCTGTTCTTTTCTTTTAGATTTACGCATTCTAATCTCTTAAAGGAAAAATGCATTTTGACACATATTTCTATAACATACTATTTTTTAATTTGATATATTGGCGCCAGAAATATCAAATTAAGTATAATAAAAAGTTACTATTTGTGAGTAGATATCAGATGTATTTGCAGTTTTCAGTAATGTCTGACTCAACAATTGTTGAAGGTTAGCTTCAAACACAATTTCCTCAATATTCTTACAGGTTGGAAAAATAAAAGTCAATGCACTAAGCGGGGTCTGAAAATTCTGAGGATATCCATTGTCAGAATTCCGCCAAAATAACTAAATAAACTCATTTTCTTCATGCATTAAATACTTTCTCAAAGATATAAAGATATGAGTAACCGTCTCAACTAAACCTCGCATTCATCAAACCCTCAGATGTGTACAAGTTATTGGAAATAGGTTTATCTTCTCATAATTATAAAGCATTCGATTAGTTTCCAACTCTGTATTCATGATATATAATAAAGCTCTTCACATAAATATTTATAATATATATGTTAACTGTAGCTGATCAAACGGCTGAACCATATTGGCTAAAATTTTGTTCAGGAATTCCTTGGCGTATCCGGGGGTAACAGCGGCTAAAAAATCGCGGTTTTTCTCAAAATTCAAATTTAGTTTTTAAAATTAAAACTTTTTTTCAAAAGTTTTTCTAAAATTCCAAGGGCAACGCCGAGAAGTTGAGCTTTTGATAAATTTTTAAAAAAATCGTTTTTAGAAAAATGTGAATTCAGAATTACCAAAGAACTTCTCCTCCGGAAATGACATAATGTTTAAGTTCTCGTTCAATTCCCTAAATAGTAAATATACAAATATTTAAATTTAAAAAATAAAATCCTTAAATTTAACTAACCATGCAACCAAAGCACGCAATAAGCAAATAAATCAAAATTTCCAATTGTACTAAAGTNACTTTATTTTTGTTTTCCAAGAAAAAAGTTGCACAACGTTTTAATATCATTTTTAATGTTTCTCGTAAAAATGCCCAAAACGTGGAAAATTTTAAATTCAAAATTTGGTAAAAAAAAAATCCTTTTCTAGAAATAAAAAATTGAAATCTAAAAAAAGAAATCGATTCTTCTCTTTATGTTTAATCTTTACAACCTGATGTTACAGACCATTCCTATTTCAAAATATGAATTCTGGTAGATCTAATAGTCATACAATAAGAAAAAAGATGCACTTGCTTTAATAAACTTTATAATATCTTAAAATATTACCTTATTCCCAGCTACATAAACAGTAAATGTATTGAATTCAGTACAATTCAGCTTGCTTCTACAAAATAAAAATTGTTATATATTTATGATTTTATAAATCATTTATTATACAATATATTAAATGTATTTTAACGATTCCAATTTTTATTCTTGATGTTTACAAATAATTTAAATTAAGTATAAAAAATATACTATATATTTCACCCAAAGAGAAATAAGTACCCTAATTTCTGTCTGATTTGGAATAAACTATGCATACCATATACTATAGCGAACATTCTTAAATGTTAAATTTAAAAAATGAAAACATTAGTTCCATTGTTTTTTGATTCTCACTGTATATACCCTTGCTTGTTGTTGATTGAAAGTGAAAGGCTTCCCTCTGTTTGTTCCAAGGTAACATCATGCCTCTCAGTTGGTACAGCCATGCTGGATCCCTGTACAATGTACAGTGTACAGTTAGTATATACAGAGGAATCCTGTACTTTGTACAATTAGTGTATATATATAGTGGATCCTTTATGGTGTACATTTAGTATTTATATGGATCCCTTCCTTTCCACTGTACAGCGTACAGTTATTATTTATACAGAGGTTAGTAAATATAGAGGACCCCTGTACAGTGCACAGTTATTAGTTATAATAGTTACAACATAAAGAGGATCCCTGCACGGTATACAGTTAGTATATATTAGAGGATAGAGGATCCCTATGGTCTGTACAGTTATATATAACGGATCTCTGTGGCCTGTACAGTGTACAGTTAGTATATAGAGGATAGAGGATCAAATTGTACATTGTAGAGTTAGTATATAGAGAATAGAGGATCCCTCTGTACAATGTAATTGTACAGTTAGTATATAGAGGATCAGTGTTCGATAAGGTGTCCGCTGTCCATTGGCCAATTTTTGAAAATACATGCAATGTACAACGCGAGTTCTATTCTAAATTTTTAGTTCAAAACTATAGGATATAATCGATTGGCAAACAGTTCAAATTTTTTGTTCTTCTTGAACTTATCATATCAAATTCGTATCTTGGTAATTGTCCAGAAAAACTAAATCTTCTAAAATTTAGAAAAGTTAAAAAAAATTGACCAGGGTATGTTTGAACAAAAAAACTTAGAAAAAAACGTTCTTTCCTTTCTTGATCCTAACTCGTATATTTTATTTTATTTTTAGAATTTCAAACGTAAACTAGTTTTCTGATTGAACACAAACAAATTAATATATATATATATTGAATTTGATGACTTTTTTGGCCTTCTAAAGCTGACATACCTCTGCTATCTGGACATCAGCAGCTGTAACTTTAACACTTAGCTTCTTCACATCCTTCGGCAGTTTTCCCAAGGATAGAGAATATCTGACATATCCTCCCTCATCCGTCCTAACCTAGATATTCAGGATTAGTATCCGTCCTAACCTAGATGTTCAGGATTTGTATCCGTCCTACCTTTATTCAGGATAAAAAAGATATCTTTTTTCTTAACTTTTTAAGAAATACGTCTAAAGAGTTCAAATTTATTAAAAATAAATCAAACTATTTATTAATCATTATTTGATTCAACACAGTGTTTTTGTCCCATAAGCTAAACATTAACAATATTGAATCATCAGAGCAGTATGAAAAAAATAGAATTATGGTGTGAATTTCCAATAAAATAGAGCAGTAAACAACTGTGACTCATTGAATTCTAATCGAAAGAATCTTTAAAGAGATTTTATATTCATCAGAAAGCAATTTTATTATATGTAAAAGAACTGAAAACTTGTCTTGAACTATGATTTTATAATCCTTACATCGCAAATCTTGAATTTTCAAACTATGAATTATTTCTACTAAATCTGAAAATCAAAATTTGACCCTTTTTTATGCCATTATTTTCAATTGCAAAGATAAAAGGAAATTAAATAAGAAAAAAACTTTAAATTTGTTCTTTTTTATTTTTATCACCTCTTGACATGAGTTTCTGTAGGTGAGGTTCTGAATGCTATTAATCTGAGAGATAAAATCATCTAAAACAAAAATAATAACCATATCTCATAAAATTTGATTTTAATTAAAATAATAAAATGAAATTTTATGCAGCTATTTTATGACAATTGTCACTTCACTGGGATTTCCAAAATTTGGTCTAATTTCTCGGACTTTTAAAGATACCGAATATTTCCTGAATTTTATTCTCATTTTAATAAATTCTTTGAAACCAAATGTAGGATGCTTTGTAATTTCTTGAATATAAAAGAAGTCATGAACATCGAATTCACTCCAGTATTGCTAAAATGTCGTCTTTCTATTCTACAGTGTTCTTGTTATCTCTCAAATCTCTGTATGATTTTACCCGAAATCTGAATCTTCCAGGATCGATTTTTATTTTGTCAAACAGACGGAGTTTAACGCAAACTTTTATTCAACTAACCTTCAGTGAATGACCAGTAGCTGTTAAAAACTGTTCGAACATCTTCAATATCTCGGAAAAGTCTGGAGCAGACAGTTAATCTCTCATTGACACGCGGGGTTCCATCATGGTTGCTCACCTACAAACAGCTGTACGGTCAATATCAGTTCGGAAATACGACGCTAGATGTCTCTATAATTAAGTTTAATTACGGGAGTCAATTATAACTACTTAATAAAAAATAAATAAAAAATGATTTTTACCCTTGAGATGGGGGCGTCAAAAGTAGATTTTTAAATAAAATAAAATGTTGTAAAGTGGTGTTTCATGTAATCTCATCAAATGAATGATTAATTACTGAATTGTATTACATGTCCAACTTATTAGAGCCCTGAACAAGTTTTGACCAACCAGCTACTTTTCATGAATACAGATTTAAGAACTTAATCGCTTAAATCTAAAAGTTTTATATATATATTCAATATATATACTATAATATATCAATATATATAAGGTTCCAACCTGTATTTCTGCGGTGTAAGGAAAACCTCCGAGGATAAACTGAGAAGAACTTGAACCAAAACTGATCAAAAACTCCTTGTTCACTAAATATGAAAAGGTTTAAAACTATCAAATCAAATTAAGTTCAAGATCTTTCGAGATGACCAAAAACGGTTTGAATTTCAAATATGTAGCTGAATACTAGAGCGCAAAATTAAAATTCGAGGAGCTACGAGGTTACAAAGTCATTCCAGAAATGTCACATAAATTATAGCTTTTTCTGTCTAATTAAACATGAATCATGATTCTATCTTTACGGAGTTTAATCTGAGCTGAAAACTTTAGAATGGGATATCATTAATTCCTATTGGTTAATTAATCTAGAGATTATTAACAAGAGGAGAACCAGAACAAGCATTATTTAATCTCGAGATTAAGAAAAAGAGTGGATCAAGTATTAATCCCGATATCCACCATTCAAAAGTTCCCAGCTCTGATGGCTCAAATTAGAAAATAAGTTTAACTTATTCTGTCAGGTTTCACTTACCCACACTAACTGAGCTTCCTACTGCTGACTCAATTGTTCCCGTTCCTTCTGAACATTATTGTAATATTATTCAATTTAAACTGTTAGTTTAGATTCAAAAAACTTCGAAACGGCTTGCGAGTTCGTTCGGACATGGTTGCCAAGCGAGAGCCTTCACGTGGTGCAACCGGCAGTGCTCCGAAGCACTGCAAAGCCTCTCATCAAACTCTTCAGTTTCAGTTTCTTCAGTTCGTTCGGACCTCAACGGTTGAACAGATTCCAAGAGACCAAAAGGCCAGAAGTAAGTTTATGGACCCGGGACCGTCAGATTATAAATGCTTTTTACTTTAAAAATCTTGTTATTTGAAAATATTGAAAAACAGCAAAATTGTTGTTTTTTTTCTTATTTTTCTCACTTACCTTCAGTAAAGTCAACATTAAAGTTGATATTAGAGGCTTGCTCTCCATTCTTAGTATCCTGCAGTTCAGCTAGGTCAGATTTACTGAATAGAAAAATTTGTCTCTTTTGTAGGAGATATCGATAAATTGGTTGGGGATAAATCTTCGTGTTTAGCTTGTTTTTTTTTTCTTTTTTCTCTCTCTGAGTCAAAATATGGCCTAGTGTAATAAGACTAAATGCTTTTTAAATTTGTTTATTCTAAAAATTTGCTTTGCCATGTCAAATTTGACCTTGACAAAAGATATATGCAAAAAATTACTAAGAAACGATCAAAATTCTCGCAAACACACAAATAAAACACAATCATTTCAAATTTTGATTTTATGAAAATGAAATCGCAAAATTTGATAATAAAGTTTTGAAATGTATGTATAGCCAAGCTGCTTAAGAGCTTGGTATATATCAAAAGTGAAATAGATAGTCGTCTTTATTATATTGATATATATGACTACGACTGTACCTGAGCTGAACTTGAACACAATCCTGATCTTCTGGAACTGTGAGAGTATAGTTGATATATTTAGTTTGTCCAGACCTAAACCTTCCATACCTAACACAAACATTTCATAATTTTCATAACTATGTCAAATTGAGAATTATGTAACATCAAGAAATAATTGTTCCATTTTTTCTCTGTTTTTCTAAAAAATATAATTTTCTTCTAGGAATAACAAATCCCTCTCACTTTTTGTATCCATCGACCACGGCAGTACAATTTCTATTTTTATTATAATTCTTATAAGTTTTATAAACTTTACCCGTTATAATTCCTATTTGCTGAGAACTGTGCTAGTATTTCTCCTTTAACAGGTGCTCCATGTGTATACTTTCCACATACTTTCCATTCAGTAAACTCCGCATCTTGAATAGGTAGATATTTATTAATTTCATCCCGGCTCACCACTTTTTTGTCCCGGCTTACCAATTGATGATCTTGGCTTACCAATAAATGATCTTGGATTACTAATTAATGTTCCCGGCTCACCCCAAACTAACCAGAGTGAGAAGCATTCTGTGTTTTTTATTTGAAATAAAACGTGTTTTGGTCTATGATTCAACAATCTTAAAACCTACATATTTGTTTATTTATACTTTTCATTCAAAACGTATATATCGACAAAAAAGTACTTAAGGAAAAAGGTTGAAAAATTATGTTTAATGGGTCAAATTGTGGCCGAAAGTCACAGCTTTCTGAAATATTGACAGAACCGTTAAATCCTCGTGGACTTACCACTTAATGCTCCCGGCTCATCACTTTATTTCCCCCGTACTAAATAATCCTGGCTTACACTTTGATGTCCCTTATTTTATCTCATTAAAATAATTAGACCTCTAACGTAGTGGTTTAAAAAGTTCAAAAAGTACGTTGAAAAAACTTGAAAAATATTAACATGTGACACAAGTTGTTACACCCAATTTTATTTTTTTCCAATTTGTTCTTTAACTTAATTATAGAAAAAAGTTAATTACTAATTTTGTTTTATTTTAACACCGACTGCCCGTTTGACCGTCCGCCACCCTACCCTATGTATAAAAAATTGTGTGAAAAATTTGTTCACAAAAATGAATTAAATACAGTTAAGAAGTTTGAGCGTTCTAGNATGGTTTAAAATATATTCACCTTGTAGAACAACTGCTGGGGGTTCAATTTTTACTTCAAACTTGGGCAGGACATATTCAGAAACCTTAAAATCAATTATTTTGTAAATTATACATTTAATAGATACACCGACGCTCAAGGTTTATCACATATTCAGAACTTTAATCCTATATTTCATTTGGCGATAACTTCGCTTCGTTAACATTACTATTAAAAAGCTTTTAGCCTATGATTCCCCCAGGGTTCCCTAAAAAAATGTCAGTAAATTTAGTCCAGCAATAGCTAACATATCTATATAATTAATATATGTTGCACATAGTCGGCAAAACGGCTGGACCGATTGGGCTGATTTTTTTGTGGACACTCATGGGAGGCATGGGGGTGTAAAAGCCTAAAAAATCCATTTAACTTCTTTTTTTTACACGGGCACCACCGGGCCCTTCAGCTAGTATGTGTAAATATATATATATATGAGCAAGAAGCTTTATTTATTAGATTTATACCTTTCTATAAATGGATAGTTACCTCAAAATTAGCTCTGAGCTTTAAAGTATCTCCGGAGTATAATTCAACCCTCCAGTCTCCGAGCAGAGGTTCATCTTGGAGTTCAAATTCCTAAAACGTGGATAAATGGACACATGGATACAAAGATACATGAATACAACGATACATATAGATACAAAGATACATGGATACATACAAACGTAGATACATGAAAACATGGATACATAAATAGATGAATATTAAATATATAGATACATACATACATATAGGTGCATGATACATGGATACATAAAAAAATGTATTCAAAGATGCATAAATAAGTGGTTAGTTGACTACATAGACAAATAAATACGTAGATACATAGATACATTGTAAGCATTGGTTCATGCATGAATACGTAGATAAATGGATTTATTGGTGCATTGGTGTATGTATGGCCATCACAAGTCATGAAACTGTTTTTACAGTTATTACCTCAAATAAAAAACCCGTGATGAAGTCTAGTTGGGACAAAATTTCTTGACATTTTATTAAAACAAATAATTGCATATACTGTGTGTTCCGATCTCTTGATCCCAATATCCACTGTGGACACTTTTAATTCGAGGATCAATAAATATTCTTCATTTTCGCTTTCCCAATCAATTACACTGCGTATTGCGGATATCTAAAAAAGATCCAATTACAGATCCCAATAAACAAAAAAAGATCAAGCATTGATCTCGATATCCAAAAGTACAAGCTCTGAAATACAGTCTCATGAGTCATGACTCATGACCATCTTCAGTGTAGTGAAATAATGGTATGTGTGTGTTACCCTCTGTATAAGTCCGGCCTCAAGAGAAACATCCTTCCAGAGTTGAATAGTTCTATACGAGGGATCCATAACCTTCAAGGTAGAGAACGTCTCATTCAGCGCCTAACAATTTAAATCTTAAGGGAGTGTTCACGAAAAATGAACGAAGGGTTAGACTGAATCCGGATCAAATTCGGATTCGATAGCTCCTAATTTAACTTCTTGCTGTTGCTTCTATAAGGAGAAAATGATTAAAAACGCTAAAAACATAAAGACGCGCGAAGAGCCCGTGTTAATTCACTCATAGTTACATTATTCCACTCAAACTGTAAATTATTAACTAATTTAATTTAAAAACTGATTCTGTAATACATAAATTCCAGTAAATAACTTCTAAATTTGATTCGGTTCATTTGAATGAAGTTATTATTTCATATTTTTTATTGTTATATGATACGAGTGTAACATATGAGAAATCATTTCTGAAATTTTGAGGATTTTTTAAAGACGACATTTTCATTATTTTCCAAGAAATGTACATGGTGTCCCACATCAAATTACACCGCGTCAATGGGTCTAAATTACGATTTAGGGGACAAATCAGAAAATATAGGAAGAATAAATCATTTTAAAAAATTTAATAAGGCTAATAGAATTTTTTTTTGGCAGAAAATGCTAGATTTTTTGCGTATTATGTGCGTATTTTGGCGTTAAAGATTGTTGACAATCTAATATGATATGGGACGCTCTGTAAGATTCCATCTTCAGCCATAAAAAACAAGCATCAACGAAGAGTAAGTTAAATCACTCCTTCTTAAGTGTGTGTTTCTGTTGATAAAAAGAATGAAGCTAAAAATGTTGAGTTTGAGCTACCTTAGGTTATCGACCAAAAAACATGGGAATTAAATTAATTTTGTATTATCACAATTCAAACATTTAACCCCGAAAAAATGCTATGTCTTGGGATTTTCAAAATGCGGTCTACCATTTTTTATCTTTAAAATTGCCGGAGATATTATGAAATTTCTCCAGATTCCAGTTTATTAAAAATCAACAAAACTATGCTAATGTATAATATTTCATTCCATCTTAAAGATACAAAAAAGTTAGATCACATTTTGGAAAGCTCACTAGAATTTCAATTTTTTTTGATGCACTTCATGTCATTTATCAATTATCTTAAATCAAATACTTTTTTTAAGTCGTCTTTAATTCCCATGTTAAGAGGAAATAGATGATTCGAGAATCGTGTTGAGAGCTGTGATAACATTAAGTACATTTAAAATTAGAAAGTACAAAACAAACAATTTAATATTTGTGACTTCATTTTAAAAAACAGCAGATTGCGTTAAGATATGCTATTCTATCAAAAATACATGGCAAACAATAATTCCGTAATAATTTGATACTAAATATTGTAAGTAGAACAAAAACCAGTATTTTTTCTTCTAAATACTTTCTCCAGAAGTATTGTCTAGATATTTATCTTTTTTATAATTTCATCTTACCTTAAGATTATAATCCAAACCCATAATCCTGCAAAACAAAAATTAATATTTTCACTTGTCCTTCTTAGATATAAAAAATTGAGATTTTTGGCTGTTTCTTTTTTACCTAAATCTGACGGTGTCTCCACCTTTGTATTTCCCCTTGTCTGTCTGCAGCTTTGTTACAGTTTCAGGTTTAATGATTCGAACCTCCCTAAAATATTAGGTTTATTTGAACCTCCCTAAAATATTAGGTTTATTTGAACCTCCCTAAAATATTAGGTTTATTCGAACCTCCATAAAATATTAGGTTTATTTGAAACTCCCCAGGGTATAACGATTATTCGAACCTCCCTAAAATATTAGGTTTATTTGAACCTCCCTAAAATATTAGGTTTATTTGAACCTCCGCAGAGTATAACGATTATTCGAACCTCCCTAAAATATTAGGTTTATTTGTACCTCCCTAAAATATCAGGTTATTTGAACCTCCCTAAAATATTAGGTTTATTCGAACCTCCCTAAAATATTAGGTTTATTTGAACCTCCCTAAAATATTAGGTTTATTCGAACCTCCCTAAAATATTAGGTTTATTTGAACCTCCCTAAAATATTAGGATTATTTGAACCTCCCTAAAATATTAGGTTTATTCGAACCTCCCTAAAATATTAGGCTTATTCGAACCTCCCTAAAATATTAGGTTTATTCGAACCTCCCTAAAATATTAGGCTTATTCGAACCTCCCTAAAATATTAGGTTTATTCGAATCTCCCTAAAATATTAGGTTTATTTGAACCTCCCCAGGGTATAACGATTATTTGAATCTCCCTAAAATATTAGGTTTATTTGAACCTCCCCAGGGTATAACGATTATTTGAACCTCCCTAAAATATTAGGTTTATTTGAACCTCCCCAGGGTATAACGATTATTCGAACCTCCCTAATGTTCAAGGATTATTTGAATCTCCGTTAAAGGGAGAGACCGGCTTGACATGGTAGTCAAGCTGAAAGTTCAGTATTGAAGAGAAATTTTTCAGAGTTCATTTAGTTGCTTAGGAAAAAGTAGAGAAGCAAAAATTAACTTTCACCATAAAAAATGAGAAATTTTATTAAATTATCGATGTCTGTAATGTTTCATTGTTTACAAACGTTTTCCTTAGATTTCCTAGAATCATTATTGAAAAGACAACATTTGAAGGATTTGAATAACTGCAAACAAATTTGTAAGGTAAAAGAAAATCAATATAATAATGATAAAGAAATAATTGATTCTACCAATGATTTCTTTACAAATATATTGAAAACATTTTTATTAAAAAATATACCTGAAAATTTCCTCCAGGAAGCTGCCATCGTCTTTAATCGTTATTTTAAGGATTGCTGGTTCAACGTTATCTGGTGTGAACGGTATGTTTACAGCTATACAAACTTTTGAACCATCAGCCCCTGGAAAAATAATGAATTTTAAGTTTTCCTTTTTTAAAAATTAGATTTACTTTACCTCCTTTTTGTTTGTATTCAGTATCAGGTTTTGCTTGGGAAAACTCGGTTAACTGTATCGCGTCAATATCTGCAAATGTGAAAAAGCATAATAGTACGATTTTTTTTTTTTCTATATCCGTTTACCAACCTTTTGGTTCGGAGTAGAAAGACGACCTGTCATTAAAGGAATAGAACTGCATTGTGAACTCGACCTCCCCCTCGAACCCCTCAATCACCAGGCACACCTCCTCCTCCTGCATCCTCAGGAAGGTGACAGGGTGGGGCAGGAAGAAGGACTCTAAGGTAGATAATAAAGGGTGTCACAAAAACATGAGGTTTAAGCGAAAACTTTAAAATCGTCTTCAAATGATAATACAAGGATTAAAATTTCAAATTCATTTGTCATGTTCTAAAATGCAAAAGCAGTAGATCGCTTTTTCGAATGCTCAAGAATAAAAAAACAAGCTTTCAATGCAAAATTTATCATTTATCATTAATCTATAAAAAATAACGAGTCAAGGACGACATTAAAGTTTTCACTCAACTACCGCGCCTGTAAGGACCAAATAATTTTCTTTCTTTCTATTCAATGTATTTAAATATTTTATTCTAAATTTATTTAACTTAAATTTTTACCTTTTCCTTCATCCGAGTTAATAATATAATCTGCAGGAACACTTCTCCACTTAGCGACCCAACCTCTGCTAGACTGCAGAATATATAATCAATTAAAGGGAGTATATACCCAACCTCTGCTAGACTGCAGAATATACTATCAATTAAAGGGAGTATATACCCAACCTCTACTAGACTGCAGAATATACTATCAATCTTAAAGGGACCATAACAAGAAAACTATTTCTTAAAGGACAGTTCACTTATTTGGGTAATTTCGGGGTAAACTAAATAGCTTCTTAGCTATTGATTAGTATATTGGTTTTACTTTTCAAAGACTGTGGCCGGAGAAAAAGTATATATAAGCTAACACATAATGGCATTGAAATATGATAAATTTAGATTTTTTTCGGACTGTTGTTGCTGAAAAACGTCTACTATAGTGTTTCAGATAAAGGGACCATCCCTTGCGCTTGAATTCTGAACGAAAATCGGCTTTTTCTCCAGCCACAGTTGTCTTTGAAAAGTAATACCAATTAACAGCCAATACGCTGTTTAGTTTAACATGAAATTACCCAAATAAGTGAACGGTCCCTTTGAATGATAAAAAGTATAAAACACAGTTTTTTCTTACTGAATATCTCCTTGTCTCATACTTAAACCCCAGCTGAGAATCCTCGGACAAAAACTGAAATAAAAGTGATTTTAAAAATAAGGTTGACAGAAGTTATTCTCGGAACAAATAAAGTGTCCAAATTTAATGAATTTGAGCCTCGGCTTAAATCTGCCAAAAACCGGTTTCAAGTGAGCGCTTAAATCTTGAAAAATGAAATACAATTTTAAGTGAAATCAACCATATTTGAGCCGAGGTTTAATTATAAGCCGCGGCTCAAATTCTTTAGATTCGGCCTCTGGTCTACGGAACGGGTTATAGCATATTTTATTATCTTCTGAAAGTAAACATATAAAATATTTTAGAAGCGAGAGAAGTAGATTTTAATTATGACTCCAAAAACAAATCCACAAAATAGCTTATTACTTTAAACATCAACAATAAAATGTTATTATTTCATATTTTTTGGAAAATGTTCCAAGACATTCAATGAGAATATTTAAAGCAATGTAACTATGAAATATGCCGAAAATCAGAAGTAAAAAAAATGTTACAGTAATAATTGTCCAAGTTAATCACCTCACTTTTCTCACTAGTGTCTCCACAAATTTTCTTTTCCAGTGTTCCGTTAGAGAAATACATGGATATATGCGCAGAATTACATCTATATCCACCATTTATCTAAACATGGATATTATTGGGAATATACATGGATTACATCTTTTTCCACCATTCATCTAAACATGGATATTATTGGGAATATACATGGATATATATGCGCAGAATTACATCTTTATCCACCATTTATCTAAACATGGATATTATTAGGAATATACATGGATATATGAGCAGAATTACATCTATATCCACCATTTATCTAAACATGGATATTATTAGGAATATACATGGATATGTGAGCAGAATTACATCTGTATCCACCATACATCTAATGATCTAAACATGGATATTATTGGGAATATACATGGATATATATGCTCAGAAGTACATCTTTATCCACCATTTATCTTAACATGGATATTATTAGGAATATACATGGATATATGAGCAGAATTACATCTATATCCACCATTTATCTAAACATGGATATTATTAGGAAGATACATGGATATGTGAGCAGAATTACATCTGTATCCACCATTTATCTAAACATGGATATTATTAGGAATATACATGGACATATGAGCAGACTTACATCTATATCCATCATTTATCTAAACATGGATATTGTTTGGAATATACATGGATATATGAGCAGAAATACATCTATATCCACCATTTATCTAAACATGGATATTATTAGGAATATATATGGATATATGCGCAGAATTAAATCCTTATCCACCATTTATCTAAACATGGATATATGCGCAGAATTACATATACCTTGACATAAAGAAAGGTCAGGAGAACTTTCTGTCCAGGTTCTGCTTCAAAACTGTAGTTGCAGTTGGCAATTCCGTTGTTCTTAAAAGTACATTTATTAAAGGGACTATACCAAAGATATTTGAAGTGATTCACAAAATTAACAGTTCTATGCCCGATCTACAACGATATTCTTTACACCTTTATCATAAAACAATTGTGTGTCTGTTTTCTTACTTTTAACATGTCTTGATTCTGTGAATTGCTTTATTTCCGCAAAAATTAGCAAAATAAATTGATTTTTTCTAATTTACTCTCCAGATAATATTTTAGGGTCTAGGAAGTTATAATAGGAATGCTTGTTTAAATATCTGGTAGGAATTTGAACAAAACTCAGTTTACGTAAAACAGAACAAAGAAATGAGGGTTCCTGGTCTATCTTCCTTGGTTAGGTGTATACTTCTCTGTGTTAGTGTTTTTTTTAATGGTTCTTGTTCTATCTTCATTGTTTGGGGGTCGAAATTTGCTTTAAGAGTTCCGATGTGTATACTTCCTTGCATGGGGTTATAGTGTTTTTAAATGGTTCCTGGTCTATTTTCCTTCGTTGGGGTTAAAATATGTTTCAAGGGCTTCCGGTCTATCTTCCGTGCAGTTTAGGTTAAAGTATGCTTTTTGAGGTTCCCGGTCTATCTTCCTTGGTTGGTGTTAAAATATGTTTTTTAAGGGTTCCCGATGTATCTTCCTTGATTTGAGTTTAAGTATATTGTTGAGGATTCCTAATGTCCCTTACTTGGTTCGGGTTAAGAATCTTTAAGAAAAACCTGTTCCGGAAAGCCTGGTGAGTAAAAAAGCTGGTTTGCCGGAGGGGATTCCAGACAGGGTGGCATAGGAGGCTCGCCCTCAGCATCTGGGGATATAAAAATTAGAAACATATTAAAACTGAAATAAATTCCCAAATTCCTCAAATTATACCGATTCTAGGTCCAAACAAGAAAGCGCAAAAAAACGAAAAAAATGTACATTGGGAAAAAAATGAAAAAAATATCAAGAAATTTAAAGTAAAACTGAAATATTTCTGAATTCCCGAGAAATGCAAAGAAAATCCATATCAATTTTTGAATTAACATTCTTGACATACAGGAAGTATAATGGAATCGAATGAGCTTTCTCTTTTAAAATTAAATTTAATTTCAATTTATTTTTTCAAAGAAAAATAAGAAACTCTTAAATAGTTGTCCAAATTCCCATTCTAAAAATTATCTAATAAATTTCCAGTTCATGTAATACAGGGAAACCCCAAATCAATTTCCAAATTCCTATTTTTTATAAGAAATGCCAAATTTGGGAGGGAGGAGGGGGTGGTTTTTAAAATCAAATTATAACCTGCAAAGTTGAGAAGTGTAGAGGTTAGAACTAGGCTGCAAAGCCCATTCAAAATATTCATTTTCGTCATCCGATTTCCCTATAAAAAATTAACAAGCTGAAGTGTCCGAGGAACTTAGAATGAAGAAAAAAAACTGAAAAAAAAATAAAAAAATTGATTGGAATTTTATGTCTGTTACTTTGTTTATTTATTTGATTAAGATTGTATTCCATAAACATCGAAACATCTGAACTTATAAAGCCAAGATTTTTTGTGGAGACTCAAATGTCTGAAGGAAAGATTGAGTTTGAAAAGAACGGAGACGGTACCTTAAACTATTTTCGTTACAGTGGCTGAATTCAAACGAACTGCAGACCCAAATATATCTTTAATACTGTTAAAAAGTGCAACTTACTCTTGTCATTTAAAAACGTTCTCAGCTAGCTTGAAAATATAATAAAAATCTGAAAAAAAGAGAAAATAGAAAATATGCCAAAAATGTCTGTGGATTATAATTATATCATAAATTCTACATAAAACGAGCAGAGATAAGAGAGTTACTGAGATCGATTATCAGCTAAAATATTCGATTTTTTCCACAGCATGTTCTATTGTGTACAAGTACTGTACACAACCAATCAGCAAACATATGTATTCAGGGATATTTAAGAATCCTTTGGATACGAAACTCAAAATCTTCAAAAAAAGACTGAATTCATAAAGGTTGTTTCATGTTTAAAATTGGAGTATTTCTTTAAAAGTTTTAAAACTTAACCCCTGAATGAGTATTATGTTGAACAAGTGTCCGTGAGATGGCACTCTAAAAACCTATTGCAAAAACGTAGCATGTCGTGCCGGGTCAACTTAGGCCTACGTAGCCCACCCTGTGAAAGAAGACAAACAGTCTGTGTAGTCTGTGGATACTAGATTAAAATCCATAAATTCTGCAGAATCTGTTTAAAATTGCATTTTAGTTAAAAGATGATTTTATTAAACTAGGTCGAGGACATTAAAGATTTACAGAAACAAGATGGACTTTAAAATATCTTAAGAAGATTAAAACAGAAGCAAATCATAATTCTTTATTTCAGTATTGAACCAAGTTTTGACAATTTAAAGTTTACAATTGAGAACAAAGCAAATCTTAGTAAAATCACATCTTTAAAGGGACTGTGAGCGTAATTTCTTAATACAAAGCTGACAATACACGATTCACAATGGTACCCTTGAAACCTGTATCTATGATCATGAATAGCGAAGATAATGTTGTTTTTCTAGGTTTCAAAATTTGATTAGTTCTTAAAACAACTCCTTTATGTGTTCCTGCAGTAGAAATGCCCAAGTTACAATTGAAAATGGTCAGTTTTCAAAATGTTAAACATTGATCATTTATATTTCATCGGACAATTAGCTGATGTGACCAGGATATTACCATCTTAGCAAGGAGGGTCACTTGAAATTACGGTAACACTAACAGCCTTTTAAAAGTACAAAATACCACATGTTAAATTGGGGCTGTGAGTGTAGTTTCTGGCTATAATCTTATAAATTTGTACATTTAACTTTAACTGTGCGGTGAATATGGAACAAGATTGTCTTACTCATGTGACATTGACAACGATGTTGGAATTGTAATTGCATCACTTCACGTTAATTGTCAGAGAGTAATCATGAAATCATGTTTTGATAAAACACAGTCGGATCGTCCCCATCATTTGGGATCGATATATGGCTTGTTTGCTAGCTAGGCTTGTGTCCCTGTGTGACTAGTGTGGCATTTAGAGCGGATCATCCCCATCATTTGGGTCGATATATAGCTTATTGGATAGCAAGGTTTGTGTCCCTGTGTAGCAGTTAGAGCACTAAATTGATAGCTTGTTGGATAGCTACGCTTGTGTTCCTGTGTGGCATTTAGAGCCTGGGTTAATAGCTTGTTGGATAGCTACGCTTGTTTCCCTGTGTGGCATTTAGAGCACAATTGATAGCTTGTTGGATAGCTACTACGCTTGTGTCCCTTTGTGGCATTTAGAGCCTCAGATAATAGCTTGTTGGATAGCTACGCTTGTGTCCCTGTGTGGCATTTAGAGCACTGAATTGATAGCTTGTTGGATAGCTACGCTTGTGTTCCTGTGTGGCATTTAGAGCCTGGATTAATAGTTTGGTTTGATAGCTACAGAGATCAAGCCCAGTGATAGTGGCGTTGCTATTTAGCGGGATAGGAACCTTTTGGATCGTGTCCTGGTTGACTTTGATAGCGGACAGGTTGGACCTGGATAGATATTTCAAGAACTTGTTATGGAGTAGGTGTTAACTACATCCATGTCATATTTTAGTTATTGCTGTCTGATGGTTCATTAGAATAATTAATCTGATCAAAGAAGGGAAAAGGACAATTAAGTTTCTCGAAATACAAAAAAAATAACCTAAACCCTATCATTTCTCAAAACAGGATGGAAATAAAAATTCACAAATAATTTATTTTAGAAAGCTGTCAATTTTTCTCCACTATTTCCTTCTTTCTTTCTTTTTTCTTTTCATTCTTTTTTTCTCAGAAAGTGTACGCCCCTCTGTGACCACTCTTTGGGATTAAAAGGGGGCACGTGCCCCTGTGCGGTGTGCCCCCCCCCTATAGCTACGGGCCTGGAATTAAAAGTTTGATATGGAAAAACGGCTGGGACAGGACTTACCCCCTACCCTTTACTAGCCGCAGCGCTGGGCCCAGAAAGTGTCGTAAACCAATGTAAACTCTATCACTTCTTGTAATTTAACGGGGTATTCCCCCCCCCCTCCTATCAATTTTGAACATGACCAAATTAGTATTTATTTAGCATTATTTAGGGTTAGGTTAGGTTAGGTTAAGACACTTTCTGGGCCGAGCGCTGCGGCTAGGAAGGGCCAGGGGGCCGGGCGCTGCGGCCACGGGTAAGGTTAAGTTGAGACACCTTCTTTAAGATCATGTACAAAATTGATAGGAGGGAGGGCCTGGGGGGTGCAAAAATCGTTCTCTAGGATACCTTACATTATAATGTGAGTTTTATAAGTAAAAATATATAATACTTGATTCAACATACGAAGCAAACAGTGAAACTCTAAAATCTGCAAATTATTTTAACTGCATTGTTATGTTATCTGTCGTGTTGCACAAGTTGCACTGAATTCTGGGAATTCTGAATATCGACTGGAGGAGGGAGAGAGCTAGGAAGAGGTTTACAACAACTCATGGGTGTTTCACGTTTAGTGCTTCGGAAAATCCACTCTAGGGACCCTCAGACAAATTTAAATAGGGTGTACCAGGAAAAATTATTTTTTTATTTCAAATGAAAATTGATATCAAAATCATATCTTATTTTTAGTGTCATAATGAATGAAAAATATAAGTTAGTTAAATGCCTATAGCTTGTTATGACTTAATCTGGCCTATTGTTTGCATTTAAACTGCATAGTAAAAATCCAATATGGTTGAGTAAGCAAGTTTACAATTGTTGACAATAAAAATTTAATGCAACAATAGTATAACACCTTTTATTTTTATTGTATGTGCGATAAACATAACAGTACGAATTCAATCCTCCTTCCCCCCCCCCATTCTCAATTTGGAGTGGCCCCAAGCCCAGCTGGAAAATTTCTCTCGATCGGAATTCCGATTTCTGACTTGAGGAATTCCGGCGTAGGAATGAAATCGCTCCGATTTTCCATTCCGATCTGTTCCGATCGTACATGAAGCGGAGATCGATAGCGTAAACAGGTCGGATGNAGATTGATGATTAATGCTAATCAGCTAAATCATGGAAAATTCTTTATTATTATACATAAAGAGCATTCCATGACTTAAAAAATTTCGCAATTGTTATAAAGGTCATGCAGATCTTATCATGTAGAAACTTTCTGAACAAATTGAGCAGCGTGCTTACACCTTGAAGAAATGAATTAAACTGGCTAAGATTTGACAAATGAGCGCGCTTTTCAGCGGGCCCTCGTTTTTTATCATCCTTTTTGATTTCATATCGGAAGAAACAGTTTGTCTTTTCATCCTCAAAGTTCTTCAGACGGACTGATAAATTAGTTTTGATCCGACGATGGAGTCAAACTCCGACAGCAAACAATTGCGGACTAAAAAAAGACAGCTTTTAATCATCCGATGCCGGAGCTCCACAAAAAGACATTTGCGGATGAAAAAAAGAGTTCCGATCACAGTAGAAAATAAGAAAACGGTGGAAAGAAAAAATAATTTTCTAGCTGGGAGCTTTTCGTCAGAAACCCCTGGACTTCCATTGGAGACCCCAAACTTTTCATTGGGGACCCCTTTTCAATAGATTTTCCTACTGCACCCCGAACTAACGAGATGAGAGAGAAGCATTCTGTTTCTTTTGTTTGAAACCAAACGTGTTTTGGTCTATAACTCAACAGTCTTTAGACTTACAGATTTGTAATTGTTTTATAATACTTTCATTCAAAATGTATATGCCAACAAAAAATATTTTATGATAAAAGGCTATAAAATTATGTAAAAGCTGGGTCAAATTGTGATCGAAAGTCACAGTTTTCTGAAATATTGACAGAACCGTTAAATCCACGTGACTGGCATCATCGGAGACCCTTGTTTTTTTCATAGGACACCCCAAACCGTTCATCAGAGACCCCATTTCATTGAAGTCTCCAACACTTGTTTTTTTATAACACTATTATTTTTTTTATTTTTAGCCTCTCTGCAAAATAGACTTGCCCTGTTCTTGCATTGCAGACACACAGTAGAAATTCTGGAATTTAAGCACTTTTTAAGGCATAGACCACTATTCAAGCTATAACATTAAAAATTTAAACATGGTTTGATAAAAAAGAAAAATGCGAACCTACAATAAACGATCGAATAGTTAAAATAAAGAACAACTTCAGTTTACAAAAAAAATGTGCAATTTCTGCCTCAATTCTATTTACTTAAGTGAAATTTTATTGTACTTAATTGTTCTATTGTAATTTATTTCATTTATTGTATTGTAATAAGTTGTTCAATTTACTAAATGTACAATGGCAATGCAATCAACTATGATTATATCAATGCCTAATATACTCTAAGTACTGTAATTAAATGTACTTATAATATAATATACTTTATGAAGTGTAAATAACTGTACTTTAACTCATGTACAATTGTAATGCATCTACGTATCTGTATTTTACAACATAAACAACAATAGACCAATGATTTCAAATGGCCATTGACCATCCCTACTTACTAATCAATAAAATCCTTGATTTTATGAATAACTTTTTATTTTATGTTAATCCAGTGAGGCTAAAAACCCACTTCCTGTCAAATAATCAACAATATTGTGTTGGTAAATATATTAAATTCAAACATTGGTCACCCAAAAATATTTCAAACTCAACTTAAAAAGTTACGATTAGGGTTCACTGTTTAGTTTATACAGTCAATACGGGCTTGGTATATATTATAGTTCCAAATTTAATATGAGCGTAAAGAAATCAATGAAATAAATCAAGATAGGTTTCAAGATATCCGTCTAAAAACACAGACTTCATCTGCGTTAAAACTTAAAATCGTAAAAAATCCCTAAAAGGACCTGTACGCGTAGTTTCAAGCGAGCTTCCATACACAGATGGCAATGCCAGATTCTCATAAATATACTGAAACTGGCGTATCTCTTGAACACTTTGTTTGCAAGATGTTTTTCATGAAGAGCTAATATATATACTAGATAAATTTACTTATACTTCTGCATAAATTCAAAACTACAGGAGCTACGCTACAAGGTCTCAAAGTCGTACAAGTAATCATAATCGCAAGCATTTTCTATCTCCTTCTCTCTATAAGTTTATTTTGGAGTAACCCCAATTAAAAACAATAAATTGTTAGTTAGAAGAATAATGATATTCTGTTTTCCGTGACAAAGAATTTAAGGACCGTTGTGAATCGGACATGCGGGTCTATAAATTGCAGGTCACTTGAAACTACGTCAACCTTAATTTCGCAGTGAATGTTGATTCTTCATGGCTAATTCACGTTTTAACTGACATAGGATATTTTGTTTGATTGTTTATGATGATATGATAACAATAAGTTTCAACTGTATAAAAATATACATAAAACTTTCATTAAGATCATTTTTCATATGAACAGGGTGTCCAATCAAACAAGACAAATGATAAGATTCAGAGGCGGCTTATGTGGGGGGGGGGGGGACGAACCCCTCCCTAGAAAACTGGGGGGATGTCCCCTCCTCTGGAAAAATTAAGAGCACTTTTAATAAAAAATTTTATAAATGCTCACACATTTTCCATCTTACATCCCCCAGCTGGTCATGGTTTTGCCATAAAATTAAGTAAATTCCATGTAAAAAAGATTCCGATAGGGTTAACAATTACATCCCGCTCTCTGTGAGAAATGGCATCATTTAATTTTAAAATCAATTGACAAAGTCAAAATCAAACAAATGTTGGATGGTCATTGGGCAACCGACTTTCTATAATTTCACACCAAGGAGTATTGAATATAAGGTAGATACAGACGGTATACTTCATTTGAATAAGAAATATTTGTGATGTCCAAATACAACGCACATGTATTCAGAATAGGTAATTGTATACATTAAATAAGAAAAAATAGGCTGAATAAACAAAACATATTTTTGAGATGCAAAAATATTGCAAACGTATTTCTTAAAAGTTGGTTTTATTAGTTATGGTATTGTAAATTACTGCATTTAAAAGATTAAAAGACGACCTATAAAAACTTTTTTTCAAATGGAGTACCGTCTGCAAAGCATGTATAATCACATGGTAAGGCGGGCCGCATCATTTGTATCTCCCTTATATCTATTCCTTGCTTCACACTCAATCATGAATTCATCTGAATCTGATGCAATGTTCCAGCATCTGTACGAGTGGGACACCCTGTGTACCTTACAATTAATATATTGCATTTCAAAGAAGAATTGTAGGGCTGGGCTTATTCCTTGTTTTCAAAAAAAAATTGTTTTAGAAAAGTTAATTTCGTAAGCTCACATGGCAGAGTTCGTGAAATCATCAGCACATTCCCAATTTTTTTTATTTCTATTTTATGCTTGAAGTTGGATTAGCCCAAACAAAGATTTTTCGTAATTATTTAAATATTTAAAAATTTGACATCGATTTTTATACAAAATCTACAAACAAAGGCCAACTCTATTTGCACATAAAGTGTTTATTTCTCTCTCTTAATTGTTGTTGATAAGTACTCTTTATTTCATCTTTAATATATTCAAACACCTTAACCCTATCACAATTAGGGGGGTGGGGGGGGGTATTCATATTTCACATTTTTTATGCAGGTATGGTTGAAGACAGGCAAACGGCTGGTCGGTGTTTCAAAAAAATTAAAATAATGCCTATAACTTGTTTATTACTATTAAAGTTTATTAAAAATTACTTTTTTGAAGAAAAAAACGATGAGCCTTATGTTCATTTTTGTAAAAAAAACTAAAATATATGTATATTTTCAAAAAATGCTGAGATATTTTTGATTTTTAAAATCCTTCCTAGCACTCCAGTAATTAAAGTGAGGGGTNCCGGAAGGGACAATAAAAACAGCCCAAAAGTTGTCTTTCGACCTAGAGTAACATTTTAAGGGGAACTATTTACATGTGCTTTTCAAAAAGTGGTCTTCCATCCTTAAAAATTCAAAAATTGTAATGATTGGGACAAATATAATCATTATATAATTTCCTAAGTTAAGGTTTTATAGACTTTTAACCGGGACCCCTGCATTACCGTGCCCATAAGTCATTGCCATTTTAAGGTAATCACAATAAAAAAAATTTATTTTAAAATAAAAAAATAAGCATTATATCTTATATATTCTTATAATCAAACAGATTAGCTCTAAACGTTTCTCATGGGAATCTGATATGCCACTTTTCCTTCTCAAAGGTCACTTAAAATCAATTACAAAATTATTTTAGAAAATAATTCTAATTTATAAAATCAAAGAGACACTTTCTATATTAATGTGTATTAAACATTTCAAATTAAATTGCCGTTAATATTATTATAGTTTCATAGCCATTTATTTCATTTTATTCTTTCATGTGTTTTGATTAAAAAAATATTATTTTACATTTATGTTATTTATTAAAAAAAACAGAATTAAAGTGTTTGATTGCTTCTTAACTGCTTTTTGAACATTTTATTTTTTGTTTGCTTGAATTTCTGCGTGACAACGAAAGATTATAAACACACATATTTGTTAAAGTGTTTTTTTTTACGACATTTAATATGATTTAAAAATAAAAGTTTTGTTAATTTTGAAATTTAAATCTCGTAATATACTTTAAATGATAATTAGTCTGAAAGGTCATATTTCAAATTACTAAACTGTTAGTTAATGTTAAACATATATATGTGATACATGATGTTAACATTGTACATAAGTTTACCCTAGCCTACCAAGGGTAAGTGCTTTATAACGTTCATGTACATGAAATACATTTCTTGGCATATCGAAATGAGATGCTATACATATACAAATTGTTTGTGCGGACTGCGGAGGCCTAACATCGTCTTCCTTATTGACTAACAATGCGGGAATAAATATGAATAAATCCACGAAACCGAAGGATTTGGTTAAAATGTTACGCTTTGCTCCTGATTTATGTAAATATAAGAATGTAAAAAATTGATTTGAGTTAATGTTAAAGATTTAAATTTTGTTTAAATTTTTCGATGATATTGACAACAAAAAAATATATAACTTCAAATATCTACTTTCTGGAAACATTACTCTATTATCTTTTCCTTCATTTCCCGATTAATATTGAAAAGTATTCAGCTGACCTTGGTACCGAACACAACAGTATGTGATTGCTGCAGTACACTAGAGCTAAAACAAGATGGCAGGGGTAAATACTTTTCCTGCCATCCTAAGATTATACAATCAGTGTAGATCAGCAGGGATCTGGGCTAGGATGACTCTGGAGACTGAGAATGGGAAGGAAACAATAACCTTCTCATCAGTCACCAACCCCAGGGTTCCACCTTCTCCTCCGTACCTAGACCTCAGGTTCCACGGGAAGGAAAACAAGTGAAGCCTTCCAAAATTAGGAAGGACAGGGAAAGAAAAGAGGCCTGGCTGTTGAAAAAAGCTGTGGCTGCAGGAAAACCAGCTGAAACCATGAATGTATCAATCCCTGAACATGCAGGGTATGGAAATTCAGCTGATCAGCAGCCGGATGAACCTGAAACAGAAACAGGTTTTGTCAATACCCCCTGCAGTACATAGATACAACCTGTAAACCTGGCTCAACAAAAACAACAATCAGGGTTAAATATAAAGAATAGAGCTGATACTCAAGGTTCTGTTGATACTCATCCACCTGAATCCAAACTGAGCGAGAAAATGGACTTTGAAATGGACACGGACATTATTCCCGGAGAGATGGACAAACATCAATTGTGTCATAAATGTAATGGAGATAAACCTTGGTCCCCTGTGTTTAGATCGGAAAAACCTTGTGATACAGGACATTGTGTTTGGAAACAGACAGAAGGACCCCCGAGCATATACCTCATACACAGTGGATGAAAACTGAACATTTTAAAGATTGCTCGATCAATCTGCATCACAAGTTGAACACACACCTAGTAAATGTATCCACTTGCATTAAATGTGAACAAGTTTTTCCAATAAATTGCGACCAGGGAGCAAGGAATAGAAGGGAGAGACAACTGACGCGGTTCGCCCTACCATATGATAATACATGCTTTGCAGACGGTACTCCATTTTATATCGAGCTGTTTGGTTTCTTTAGTAGGGCCCCACAGGAAAAATATGTATTGACTCAATTTTCTTTGACCACTATGTAACACTATGTAATCTTCATATTCAAACTCATTCTTTTTATAACTTTATGTTTTGTGTTAATAAAAATATTTAGATCTTAAAAAAATATTGAAAAGGGAGCGGGGGGAGGGGGGGGTTCCACCCCTCCCCCACCCCCGATAATTTTGCCCTTAGAATAGGGAAAGGGAAGTACGTAATAAATGTCCCTAGTCCAACTTTTCATGGCCGGCCTGATCATAAGAAATGGACCTCTATCTTTTATTGTTAGGGTGCAAGGAAGGATTTTAAAAAGTTCAGAAAGTGCGTCGGAAAAATGTTCAAGAGTTATAATTTTACTTTTGACAAATAAATACATGTGAGTGTGACAAATGATATTACATCCACTTTTCAAGGACTTTTAAAATCTATATTTTTTAGCCCTGTGGCTTAATGAATAAAAAAGTTATTAACCATTTCCGATTTTTTAAAACACCGATCCGCCGTTTCACTGCCTTCCTCCCTACTCTTTGCATCAAAAAAAATAAAAATTGTTAAACACTACAGTTAAATAAGATGAACCATACATCGAAAGAATTTATCAAATGTCGTCTTGACAATTTTTCAACGGGTTTTTTACTATTTTACGTAAATCTCAGTATTTGCTAAAATAAATAAAAAGCCATGAATATGCAGTAACAGTTTTAAAGAGCTCCAATATGATCATTTAATTAAAAAAATAAATATCTGCAAAATTCCATTATCAGAAAGTGAAGAATACGAAATTTGATGAATTCTTTCGATGAATGGCTTATTTCGAGTTAATTTTTCGTGATAAAACGAAAACAAATAGCAATAACAATTTAGAAACTATTAATTTTTTAAAATAAACTTGATTGTAAAGCAATCAATACTTATCCCTAAGTCTTAACCCTCTCCAGATTGGGCTGGTAGAAACTTGAGCATGGTAACTAATAATACAATGGAACTAATTTAGATCCATCCTGCACAGTTGAGAGTTAAATAATTCTACAATGATAACCAGAACATTCTGAAATAGGAAAACGACTTTTAAAAGTTCAATAAGCATGATCACAAAAATTGTGTGTTGTAAACATCATAAAATACACTAAAGTGTAGTTATAACGCCGTCTTTTTATTCCATTGTTTTCTGGTTATCACTGTAATTTAGCAAAATTTAGAAAATTTGATGTTTCATTGTGGCAACCATAAACTAAGATCCTCTATATCTGGTGTTACTTATAGAACAATCCAATAGGGTTTTTCATTTCTTTCGTATCGTTTCGGAATCCGGACGTACAGGCCGTAGGAAACCTTTCCTGAACCTGTTTAGAATGATAACCAAAACCTTTTGGAAACTCTATTAACTGAATTAAAAATGAACATACCTCTTATTTCCTTCACAGAGCTAAAAAAAAAGTTTATGGTCCATATGGAGTTGTCGACCTGTAAACTTTTTTCAGCATTGTAAATAAGTAATTAAGTAAGTAAGTAAGTAAGTAGATTTAATTGAAAATATTGTAATTTTAGTATTCTGGGTGTGGAAAATCCTAATATCCTGAATATGGGATGGAAGGATTCCACTCTACTCCTTCTCCTGATATATACAGATTGTGTTTACTCTAAAGGGGGGTCTGAGTATTGGAGTGAGGATTATGATACATGTAGGTTAAACTTTTTATTTTCCCCTGATTACCCTACCATTATTAACGATATTAAGGACGATATTAAGGACGATATTAAGGACGATATTTCACTCATCTCTATATTAACATATTTAGAAAGCGAGGCAAAATTATTAATCACTGCTTTACATGTTTTATATTCTTTATATAATATACATAGTGTTTTAAAATTATATTTAATTGCGTGTTTGATTTGATTTAATTGAATTTAAAAAGTAAATATTTCCTTGAAATGTGGTAAAAATAAATAAAGAATGTACACATGAGAACCATTAAAGTATTGAATAGGACAACTTTTTAAAATTCTAATTTTAATTAAATGTCGTCTTCCAGTTCCGCAGTTTTATGGGTTGCACTGTATCTTTATTTTTACATTATAGCAAAGAACTGTAAAGACGAACAAACTATTCTCAAAATTATGACATCTGGGAACTCTTCATTGGTAAGTTGGAATACAGAGATAGTTCACAAATTTTGGGATTTTGGAGGAACCGATTTTCTTAAAGGGACTAATTTTGCCATTTAAGTTGAAAAAACTTTATCTGAGACATAAAAACAAAATTAAAAATACCGCGTAGCAAAAAAGTTTTATTTTAAATTTTGAGTCATACCTAGGGGTTAAAGCGAAACATGAGAGCTGGAGAATAGTTTTTAATGTCTTCTTCCATATACTGTATTAGATTCTAAAGACTTTTTTAGTTAACTTCGTTAAATTTTAAATTTAAATTGAATCTTTTGCTCAAAAACAGCCTTATAAATAATGGAAGAAGACATTTTAAACTATCCACCAACTGTCATGTTTCGTGGGACACCTTGTAGTAAAAATAAATAAAAACAAACAATTTTAGGGGCATTGTGAGGATGAAGTTGGGGACCTTAGTGATGTTCAGGTAAATGGAGTGGATACAAAACATCCACTAACAAAATGTCCAATTACAAAATGTCCAATAACAAAAAGACCAAAAAAACACCTAACTTTTCAAAATTACCAAAGTTAGAACAGTCCAAAACATAAAACCTAATTAACCCAAAACACCCAAGATTTCAAAATGTCCAAAATTACAAAATAAATAAAATTACAAAATGACTAAAGTTACAAAATATCAAAAGTTAAAAAATATCAAAAGTTACAAAATGACCAAAATTACAAAATATCAAAAGTTGAAAAATATCCAAGATTTCAAAATTTCCAAAGTTACAAAATGAATAAAATTACAAAATGTCAAAAGTTACAAAATATCAAAAGTTATAAAATATCCAAAGTTACAAAATGACCAAAGTTACAAAATATCAAAAGTTACAAAATATCCAAAGTTAAAAAATTACCAAAGTTACAAAATGTCCAAAGTTGCAAAATATCCAAAGTGAAGATACCCAAAGTTACAAAATGACCAAAGTTACAAAATAAATAAAATTACAAAATGACCAAAGTTAAAAAATATCCAAAGTTACAAAATGACCAAAGTTACAAAATATCAAAAGTTACAAAATATCCAAAGTTAAAAATTACCAAAGTTACAAAATGTCCAAAGTTACAAAATATCCAAAGTGAAGATACCCAAAGTTACAAAATGACCAAAGTTACAAAATATTAAAAGTTACAAAATATCAAAAGTTATAAAATTACCAAAGTTACAAAATATTAAAAGTTATAAAATATCCAAAGTTACAAAATGACCAAAGTTACAAAATATCCAAAGTTACAAAATATCCAAAGTTAAGATAACCAAAGTTACAAAATATCCAAAGTGAGATACCCAAAGTTACAAAATATCCAAAGTTACAAGATACCCAAAGTTACAAAATATCCAAAGTGAGATACCCAAAGTTACAAAATATCCAAAGTTACAAAATATCCAAAGTTAAGATACCCAAAGTTAAGAAAGATCCAAAGTTGCAAGACACCCAAAGTTAAGAAAGATCCAAAGTTACAAGATACCCAAAGTTAAGAAAGATCCAAAGTTACAAGATACCCAAAGTTAAGAAAGATCCAAAGTTACAAGATACCCAAAGTTAAGAAAGATCCAAAGTTACAAAATGTCCAAAGTTACAAAATATCCAAAGTTAAGATACCCAAAGTTACAAAATATCCAAAGTTACAAAATATCCAAAGTTACAAAATATCCAAAGTTAAGATACCCAAAGTTACAAAATATCCAAAGTTACAAAATATCCAAAATTACAAAATATCCAAAGTTACAAAATGTCCAAAGTTAAGAAAGATCCAAAGTTGCAAGATACCCAAAGTTACAAAATGTCAAAACGTCCAAATAATAATTCTTTGGAACTCTTTATAATCTTTCAAAAAAAGTTTAAACACTTATCTTACCCACATAGATCCAGACTTCTATGAAATGATATTTTCAAGACTGGATCTTCTTTAAAGTATCGCAATGCCTATGCCTTTGTGTTTTTCCAACTAACTCAGTTATACTTTTTTTTAGCCCCGCACTTTGAAGTTTTTCTTTTGGGCAGTATTTTACACTGTTTTTGTGCAATTTTGGATTTTTTTTAAAAATTTTTATTATTGGACATTTTTTTTGGCCGTTTTGTATCTATTCCGTTTGAAAAAATACGGATCCCTACAAAATATTTAATATATTTTTATCGTGTTGATTGTTTTGCTAGAAAATATCGATACTTCTTGATCTAATTTAATGAATTTGAACTGACTACCGCTGGTTTAAATTTGAATCAGCGATTCAAATCCTTCTTTAATAAGTTACTTTAATCGGTGGTTCAAAATTGAAGTTCAGCAACGAAGCAATAAATTATTAATTTCGGTTTCAAATTAAGGACTACTAAACCCACATTTTTGATTAGGGATCTCGTTGGTACCTAGGGGAGTGTTTTGCTTGATTAAAAAGTTCTAAGTTGAGTCAGTTGACTTTTATAAGAAAAAACTGTGGAAGACGATTTTTATATAATAGTCGAAACATCAAAATAAAAATACTAAACAACTTTTTTCTTTTTTCCATCTAGTATTAAATTTTGTTTAGGTTTTCCAAAGCTGTAAATTCAAGTTGGCCAAAGCAGTTGCGACTGCATGTTCATCTACTACAGTTAAAGATGTAAAGTATTTTTTTATTTTCTAAATATTTAATAAAATAAAACTATTAATACCTTGTCATGAATAAAGTATATATTTATAATATATTTTATATATTTATGATTTTAAACATTTTATACCTGGTCAGGGGTTGAGGAGGGATTTGTAAAGATTAGAATGTCAAATCGAGACAGACATCTTTCTATATCAATATATGTATAGAGCTGGCACATTCCAACTTTTTCAAGTTGTTTCGTTAACGGTTAGTTTTAACCGTTTTTAAATAAAATCTCAGGTATGCCGTTAGTTTTTGAGGGTAGGAACAAAAGTTCGTTATTTATTAAAGTTAGCGTTACTGGTTAACGATCTCAATTTTATTAACGGCGTTAACGGAAAATTCTGAACTAATATTACTGAATTAACGGTGTTTTAAAAGTTTAATGTAATTTTAAGCAGAAACAAAACGAAATTTGCACCATCAAAAAATTAATCCATTTCGTTTTCGTTTTCAAGCATAAATTCTTTTTTAAAACAGCTAATCCGTTTTGTTAACGATTTGAAAATTAACGGTTTTTGCCGTTCGTGAACGGACTCTTCTGTTTATTTTCGAAAACCTCTGTTTCGTTAACGGAACTTTGCCCAGTCCTATATATGTTAAGTTATAATCTCTGTGCGTATCTTTATTTGTCTGCGCTGGATTTTCGAACATTCCTGGAAAATATAAAAATCCTTGAAACAGGAATAAAAGTTTTCAAAAGTAACTATCAGATCATAAAAGATAAAAAAATATTAAGAAATATAAAATATAAACGAATGCATTGAGAAATTGTCGATGGTTTAAAGTAATCTCTAAAGAAACGGATTACAAATCTAATTGTTTTAATTTTAAAGTTTTTATTGTAAATATGGAGTTGATAAACAAATTTACCGACTTCTGATCTCAATATTTGTTTAATAACTTTGAATCTTTCTTAATTATACCATGTTTCAGTTCAAAGGCTGAAGACAAAACTTAAATCCTTAAATATTGTTGAACTTAAATTTGTTATTTTTTTTAGAGGTTAAAAACATCAATCCCTAAACTTTACATTTTACCCTTTTAAATTTAATTCTATGCATTTAATATATGAACATTGCCTCCTTCCTTCCAGATAAAATTAGGCATACGTCTTTGCTGTTTTAAACATATTCAGAATAAGGTCTAAAAATATTTTGAAAGAAAAGATCATTTAAAGCAGGCTTAAACATTTCTTTGACTTTGTCCAACTTTAAATTGTAACACCTTTTGGGGAGAATAAAAACAGACAGGAATGCTTATACTGCATTTTATTTACATCTCACGTAAACTGCAATATTTTCTAGTCAATTGATACTGAAGGTGTGGGGTCTCCTCTTTTTGTTTGTTTTGACAGTGTAGTGTCATGAAAAATAATAAAAAAAATGAAGAAAAATGTTCTAATCGGAATTCAGTTGCACGGAATTGCGCGTAAATGTGCAGAATTGCTCGGAATTAACTTTAATGGATAAAGAAATAAACAAACATATCTTTTTAACTAGGGAGGGAAGCTGCTGTACTGTAAAAACAACAAACTGACAACCTGCTGCTATCACCAACATAAGTGTGTTGAGAACTGGAACGCTATTAAGGGGGATTATACTAAAACTGCGGAGGCTTTTCTCAGAGATAAGGTCGCATTTTTCTCAGGGATAAGGTCACATTTTTCTCAGGGATAAGGTCACATTTTTATCGGGGATAAGGTCACATTTTTCTCAGGGATAAGGTAAAATTTTTCTCAGAGATAAGGTCGCATTTTTCTCAGAGATAAGGTAACATTTTTCTCAGAGATAAGGTAACATTTTTCTCAGGGATAAGGTCACATTTTTCTCAGAGATAAACATTTTTCTCAGGGATAAGGTCACATTTTTCTCAGGGATAAGGTAACATTTTTATCAGGGATAAGGTAACATTTTTCTCTGGGATAAGGTCACATTTTTCTCAGGAATAAGGTCAGATTTTTCTCAGAGATAAGGTCAGATTTTTCTCAGGGATAAGGTCACATTTTTCTCAAGGATAAGGTAACATTTTTATCAGGGATAAGGTCACATTTTTCTCAGGAATAAGGTCAGATTTTTCTCAGAGATAAGGTCACATTTTTTGTTAGTTCTTAAATTTTTGCCAATCTCTTTGCATATTTTATAAAAAAAAATGAACATTTTTTCTTAAAATATTTTTTTTATATGTTTTCCAATTTGTTTTGATTTTACTCTTTTTTTCTTGAACACAACCTTCACAGCTGAAAACTTTAGAATGGTGGATATCGAGATTAATGTGTGATCCTCTCTTTTTCTTAATTTCAAGCCTAACCTAATTTTGTACTTGTATCCTGAAAAGTGTATAAAATTCAACCAATCAGATTCGCATATATGAAGCCGAAAATTTGAAATTTAACGCGTCATTTAAGATTATATACAGAAACGGGAAGGACTCTCTAAATAAAAAAAATGTTTTTGATTTTACTCTACTATATCCAAGAAAGAACGGTTTAAGAAGAAAATCAAAAGTGTGTCCATTGGATACTCAGATTAAGTATTCGGGATTAAGAATATCTCATTCTAAAGTTTTCAGCTCTCATCAAGTATATTTTAAATTCGGTGATGGTGATGAACTAAACCTCTGTAGAGTAAATAAAGTAGATGTTAGTTCCACATTTTGTTGAAAATATATTTCGGTTTGGATTGACCCTAGTCAGTCTTATCGATATAATAACCACCAAAATTGTTAATAAAAAGTGTTAAATCAAGTATGGATTTGATATCAATGATTATAATTTTGAAAACATATTATTTTCCATTGTGGTTTACAGGGTACCGTTGCAAATCTTTGAAGGTCACTTGAAATAACGCGTACAGTCCCTTTGAAAAATATTGGGAAATATTTTGAAAATTTAAACTAATATGAGTTAAAAAAAAGTAGATGTTTTGTTTAGAAAGCCTGGCTTGAGAACGAGAAAAGTAAAGGATATGAAACCTGCCAAGCTCTAGACTCCAGTAGGTTTATTATTTTTGAAGGAATTGAGTTTTTGCCACAAACACCGATTTTCTGATTCCTATATCTTTGCAACCCAATCTAGTAGACCGTAGATATTTTAATATATGAATTATGATAACAGGGCAGGTTTATTGTTAATGTTAGATCAAATAATAAAACTTGTAAATAACAAAGGTTTACACTAACAGGTTGAAAAGATATATACGGGTTAGAAAATTTAAGTTTGTGGAAAAGACTCAATTCTTTAGCTATTCCTTTTTAAACATGCTTAAGCAGAGCTCAGAACTTTTGTAATTTTAATCCATGTGAAAAACAAAAATCAGTGGCTCAATTTAGAAAATTTAAACCTCGTTGGTGAACCGTCAAAAATCATTTCCAATTGAGAGTCGGCTCAAATCTTGAAACACTGAATACAGTTTCAAGTAAAACCAACCATGTTTGACCCGCGTCTCAAATTTGAAATGCGGCTGAAATTCTTTAAATTTAGCCTCTGTATTATTTTCAGTCCACCAGAGTAAATCAATTTCTTTGGATTTTTTTTTTCAGAAAACAAAAGGCCAAATGGTAATTAGCAATTGTGAAAATATTGCTCCGGATCACATCAAATTATGTGTTCGCTGTAAAATAAAAAAAAGTTTGAACTACTGTTATATTAATGTGTTAAGGTTATGACGCCTCTGTTTGAACTACTGGTTATATTAATGTGTTAAGGTTATGACGCCTCTGTTTGTCAAAAAGATTGCACAAGTCAGGAAACTTCAGATTTTGCTAAGCAGTGTTCAGCCCAGGGAGGATTCTTTAAATGCTGCATAAGGAATCATATTGTTAAATGTTTTTTTTTCCTCATTATTTTAGAAATATTTCTCAGTCTCATTAATACCTTACATTGGCCTCATTCTGCCTTCCTAAAATTTAAAAACGTATTTTTTTAGAAAAACAAATTTCTATAGATCTTATCATATCAAATCAACTGACTACCATCCCATTTTTTAAAGATTTACAGGTGAAAAACGTACAATATGGACATATTTTTAGAGAAAAAAATCCCTTTTTTGCGTTATGTACTAGATCTTAAATTGCTTTTGTTGTGCCTGTTAAAATGCCCGGTCAAAAATGTTCGTGATTATGGCATTTTATTTTATTTCTGAAAAACTGGTGTACAAAATTGGATTGGTTCTTTTATACATTGCTATCACTCTCTTTAATAACAATGTGAATGTAAAAGACGAGATAAAGCCAACTGTCATGAATGTCGGTATTGCTGTACCCTTCTCATGTGCACCAGGAAAATAGGATCAGGTTAACTTTAGTTTTAAAAACCCTTGGGGGCGGCAAACTTTGAACTGTACATACAGTCCAATTACCTTGCATGTACTGTACTTTATCTCGCCTTCAAACCAAACTAGCAGAACAAACATTGTTTCTAAAAAATCGACTTCGTTGCTGTTAGTTAGTAATAATTAGTATTTAAACTAGCGATAGTAAAAGACATTTTTGAAAATGAAAAACCTGACTTAAACTTAAATTCTATGAGATAAAAAAAGGACAAAGGTCCAGAAAATAATTATGACTTGTAAAAGTTTCCATTTTGAAAAAAAAGTAGGAGTACAATTGTAATCTATGCCATGAAGCCCTTTGTTCATTTATATGTTTGCTATGGCTGGCCAAACGGCTTAATCAAGTGGGCTGAATTTTAGTAAGGAAATTCATGGATGACATAAGCTAAATAAATTAAAAGTTTTTTGTTTTAATTCAATTTTTATAATTCCACGGGCAACGTCTGTTACTTCAGCTAATTTGTAATAAAAAGAAAGATTACAAAACAGCGGTGCAATGAATAAAGTAAATTAAATTCAAATTAAAAAAAAAACTCAAACCAAGCCAAACATTAGGATGAATGTCCATTCTAAATAGATTTTTCATTCGGACTTCTGTCATGGTGGCTCTGGTCCACTAATACAATCTTCTTAGTGCACTGAATTAACAGCAAAATATTTTTTTATGTTCTTCACTCTTAAGTTTAAGATTTGAAAAGTGTGAAAGCTCTGAGTTCTAAGGGGGCACTGTCCCCCTTGCCCCTTCCTGTATACACCCTTCCATGTTAAAGAAAATAATTAGCCTTGCCTCACACATTAATTTATGTTCATGTTACGAGACGTATTTTCAAGTTTTCTATACGTATTTTAGAGTTGCATGTTTGATTTACATTTTTTCAACTATTAACAACCCTATACATATACTCTATAAGGCCTTTTCCGAGGGGGGGGGGTTGCGTGGGACCCCCCCCCTCAGCCTATACATAGATTCTGACCCCCCAGCCTTTATAGGGTTAAAACTTAAAAAGTAGATTGAAATATATTTGCACATTATGAGCATTTTGTGTTTTTAATTTCCGTTATTAAGCTACTCATTTTATTCTAGGTTTTCACACTGATTTCACCTCACTCAATGGAACTAAGCTAGTTGTGGACTCCCAAAGTGAAGGAATACAGCAAGCTAAAGAACTGTTTTTTACTTCAAGTTCTATGTGGAAACTTCCAGATTACAGGTGAAATAAAAGAATAGAATTTAGAATATTGATTTTCTGCATTTACACCGATAAAAACCCGGAATTTCTTGTAAAAGAACTGATTCTGTGCCTCTAATTCAATTTTATAAACCTAATTTCTGAACAAAAACCTAATGTTGTAAAAATTATTTATTTCTAACTTTAAAAACTCTATCAGAATCTTCTTCACAGTGTCGCTAAAATTGACATAGACAAATATTATTTTTCTAAAAATTAACATTTAGAAAAAGGAGATGTCATGGCATTTTCAATAGTACCGTAGCCAGATTCATTTGTACATATTTGGTATTTAGTTAATAATACACAGACTTTGAACCCAAGCCGGAGCTTAGTTGTCTGTTAGAAAGTTAAAATCAAATCCAAGCCAGACTTTATTTGTCTGTTAGAAAGTTAAATTCAAATCCGAGCCAGAGTTTATTTGTCTGTTAGAAAGTTAAATATAAACCCAAGCCAGAGTTTAGTTGTCCGTTAGAAAGTTAAATATGAACCCATGCCAGTGTTTAGTTGACTGTTAGAAAGTTAAATATAAACCCAAGCCAGAGTTTAGTTGTCCGCTAGAAAGTTAAATATAAACCCAAGGCGAAGTTTAGTTTTACACTAAAAAGTTAAATATAAACCCAAGCCGGAGTTTAGTTGTCTGTTAGAAAGTTAAATATAAGCCCAAGTCAGAGTTTATTTGTCTGTTAGAAAGTTAAATATAAACCCAAGCCAGAGTTTATTTGTCTGTTAGAAAGTTAAATATAAGCCCAAGTCAGAGTTTATTTGTCTGTTAGAAAGTTAAATATAAGCCCGAGCCAGAGTTTATTTGTCTGTTAGAAAGTTAAATATAAGCCCAAGCCAGAGTTTATTTGTCTGTAAGACAGTCAAATATAAACCCAAGCCAGAGTTTAGTTGTCTGTTAGAAAGTTAAATATAAACCCAAACCAGAGTTTATTTGTCTGTTAGAAAGTTAAATATAAACCCAAGCCAGAGTTTATTTGTCTGTTAGAAAGCTAAATATAAACCCAAGCCAGAGTTTAGTTGTCTGTTAGAAAGTTAAATATAAACCCAAGTCAGAGTTAAGTTGTCTGTTAGAAAGTTAAATATAAACCCAATTCAGAGTTTAGTTATCCGCTAGAAAGTTAAATTTAAACTCAAGCCTTTAATTAATACTATTCATGAAACTCAAAAAATTTCACGGTGATAGTGTCAAAAATGAGAGAACTGATAGGGTTAGAACTGACGAAGGGGTTAAACAGACTGGTCAGGAGAGAATATGTCCGCCGGCCACTGTGGAGAAACCTCTGCAGTGTTACATCTCTACTCTGAGCACATTTAATTATTTCAAGTACCAAACCGACCTCTGGAGGCAGAGTGAAGGTTATACAATAACTATATTAGGCTCCAGCACACCAAATGAATTATCCCCTTCTAGTGTTATTAATGTGAAGGACTGTGTATATATTGTTTAGATGCCATGAAGATGTTTGAATCCTGAGAGTGATCCGGATCCACTGAAGTGGGGTCATTATGATCCATTCTCATTCAGTGAAGCTATAACTAAGGAAACGCAATAATAACATTATTTCAAGCAAAAATATGATTTAACTTATTTTCATTTACAGGTAAATGCTTACTGCTGCAGTGTACTGCCACGTACATTGGTCGGCATTTATATCAATACAATAAAAACAACTTTTCTATTTAGGTTTTTATTTCCATCAAGTTTTTTTTTCAAATAACAAGTTTACAAGTAAACAAAAAGAAACTGTCAATTAAAAGCTTGTTTCTATGTTTATTGTTTATGTGAATCCATGTTGTTTGAAATTGAAAGCTTGGTAGAAGTCAAAATTGAAATCAAAAGGCGTCTTCATTTTATTGATTTTTACGTACGACGACGACAATCAATATTTCCTGTTAAAGATAATATTATTTTTTTAAAACAGTCATAGTGAAAAATATAATCATTTTAAACTTACAATTTGAAAAACTACACAAAAATTGTTTTTTATTATTTTATTAGTTTAGCTAGTACCCATCCATATTTTTCAGGTTTTTGATATTTCTCAAAATACATTTAATACAGGGATTTCAAGTGTAATTTCAGATGACCCTCCAATGATAGAGGGGTATGTTTGATGAACATTGTTAACCATCAAAAATTTGTCTGATCAATTATGAATCAGATATTCATGTTTTCGTTTTTAAAACTATTGTTTTAATGTGTATTATCTCTACAGAACAGATTTGCGCATTTTTTCTTCAAGCTAGAAAAACGATGTTATCTTCAATATTTTTGATTAAGTTTTCAAAGTTATCTATTATTGTTTTACTTCAGGAGGAATTGAGTAAGGTGAATCATTTTATATATTTATAAAAGTGTGTGAAGGAAAATAACAAATAATGTTATGAAACATTTTAAAACAAGGAAAACAACTAGAAAATTGTATAAGATTAATACATGATTTGCGTTTTTACCTTGACTTAAACTTAAATCTCAAAGCATTTATTACTTTAATAGAAAGAAACGATGTTCTAATAATAACGTTATATTATTAAAATTCTCTAAAATAAAATTTCAGGATTAAGGTTTTACACACTTTACAGTTTTATAAAATTAGAAAGTAGGTTAAAATTCAATTTGCAATTCTTTTTGTTGATTTCATTTGTAGAGTATACATAACCACACTGTTGGAATTCCCGCTTACAATCAACAGTATTTACTGGATGCACCGGACCATAAGTGTCGGTTGTAGTATATCAGAGACTATACGGCTCGAAGTAAACTGGCCGGCTGTACACTAAATTCTAGTTCATTTGAATACTACTTATACATTCATTAATAAAAATCGAAGCAAGTGAGAAATTCTTTTTTTGATAACTAACCCCATATTTAAACACAAAATATTTATTTCTATTAACATGATTTTATAATTTAAATAACATCTTATAATTTTGTATTAATTTAAATTTCAAATCAAACATGCAGAGAACTCTTTCGGTGAAATTTGAAACTCTCTATCCCCAACTAGGGTTTCTTAAATGTGTCCCCATGTTGACATTAATCACATTTCTGCTTAAAGGGACTGTAAAGGAAAAATGAAAGGGGGTATAGGCTGAAAGCTAATCACTTTAGCTCTCGATCGCAACCCATGAAAGTCATATCTGATGTTTCTATCTCGAGAAACTGATTTACAACTTTGTCAAATTTATACGAAAATTAATATAAATACAACAATTTTGTATAAAAGTAGTAGGTTTAAAAATATCAAATTCAGCAAATAAGCAACCAATCTGAAAATGATGATATCCCAGAGAAAGCTAATTGTAAATTAGGTTTACTTTTATTTTTTTTATTTCTTTTTAAATAGATTTCATTCATAATATTATTCATACGTCCGTATTACTTGACCAGAGATTCCACCAATGGCAGTTGAGTAACTTGGTTACGTGATACATGCGGAGACACGTGATCAGTATACTGCTCTGCCATTGGTGATAGTTCTGGTCACGTGATTTAAGTTTCAGATTTTCTAAAGTTTACATATATGAAAGATTTTCTAAATTTCACGTATATGAACTTTCGTAAAATTTTAACAAAGTTTTATATCAATTTCTCGAGACAGGAATATCAGATATAACTTTCATGGGTCGCGATCAAGAGCTAAAGTGATTAGCTTTCAGCCTTTACACATTTCATTTTTCCTTTTCAGTCCCTTTAATCTAAGAATTGTCCGACGTCCGTTGATATCAATTAGAATTCTTTTTGATTTTAAAAATGCTCTTAATTGATGTAAGTGTATTTCTGCTTGATCTAGTTTTAAGGAAAAAAAACTCGACTTGATTATTATTTTACTTTAATCACTTAGTATTTTGGTTAATTCAAGTAAAATCAAACTGCAGACAGTAAAACATTGAAACTCAAACGATATATGAATGAAGGTTTATACTGTTTATGTTGGTCTGTAATGTAATGAATATTAGAATTTTATAGTATATGTAATTTCCAACAGTGTGCATAGATAAATACATTTGATTTAAACACCTGACTAGCAAAGAGTCATCCCTGCAGTGCCAGACCAGGTTTTAACAATTGGCTTAGCTCTTTTTTTTGTTTATCGGGAATTAACAAACCAATAAGTAAAGAACACGCACAAATAATAATAATAAATAATGAATAATAAATACCTTTATTTAGGCGGTAACCTTTCCATATGACAAGCGATTCATGAACTTTGAAGATCCGGAAGTAGTCAAGGAAATGTTAGATACAAAAGAATTGGAAAAGAAATGGAAAGAAGTTTATGGATTTGACTTCGCACATCTGGGCTTTGATGGCTCTGAGGTAAACATTAATAGTAAACTTAAGTGAGAAGTTTGCCCCATTCTCTTGGTTTTGATTGGTTGAATATCTATCGATCATTCATATATAGAAATTTTAATGAACAGGGTAAAAAAAATAATTTGCTTGAAATTTTTTTTTGTATTAAAAGGAGTGTTCGCGAAAAATGAAAGGGGGTATAGGCTTAATGCGATAAAAAGCGCTTTTGATCGCTACTAATCTTACTTCTATCTGTTGCGTCTATAAGGAGAAACTTGTTAAAGACGTCTCATACTGAATAACTTAGCGCCCATTCAAATTCAGAAAATTGCAACATTATTTCAAACAAATCATTCAGATTTTACAACCATCGATTATCTTTCGCCACATTTGTATATAGTTTATATTTTATAATATTTTATTTTTTTTTAGAAAACGTTTTAACTGATTTCGCACAATGTGAGTGGTCCGCGGCATTCTTAGATAGTTGCGCAAGTCGCAAAAGAATTATAATTAAATTCAAAACAAATTAATTGAAAAATATCATAACAGATAGAAGTAAGATTAGTAGCGATCAAAAGCGCTTTTTTATCGCATTAAGCATATACCTCCTTTCATTTTTCGCAGACACTCCCTTTAAATGATCAATAGACGGTAAACCAAGCCAAACATCATTAAGCATTTTTTTACATTTTTGTATAAGACCAAGCAACCTTCATTCCATGCATTGCCAAGTTTAATGATTTACATTTTTGGTGCCCTATCAACTATAATTACAGGCAATATATTTTTTCTAGAACTTTTAAAAGGCTTTAAAAAATGCTGTACACTTGGTAAAGGCTTCAACACTTCAAAATTGTATATTTAAAAGTTTCCTTTTAAATTTTTAGATTTTAAAATTTTTAAACTTTTAATATTTTTTTAAATCTTTTAAACGCCTTTAAAGTTTACCTAAACAATCCCGTTCTGTCATTCACATTTTAATACTTTCTTTCTAATGATTCTACAGTATTTTATCCTAGAGACTTCTGGATTGTGTTAAAGCAGAATCAAGCGAATTCGCGAAAAAATGCAAAAAGAATAAGGGTTTCTTTAAATGCTGTTCAAATGCGTAAGTTAATTGTAATTCTGATTATTCTTATTTGAAAAACTATATGTTTATAAGTTGGCATAAAACCGTGGAAAAGAAAGACAAGTTTTTTGTAATCTTATTGCTCTTTAATATTGTAGTAAAGCAAGCATAGTTTTACCAGTATTTTCAAAATCAACTTGAAGAGAAATGGAGAAGTTGCTGTGTTTCATATAGACTATGGACTATTTAAAATCATAATTTGAATCTGACAGTCGTCTTCCTTCTCCACAGCTTTATGGGCCCCTCTGCACAAGTCTACTGAATAAAGATGAATATGAATTCTACATGTTTAGATGGAATTTGTATGCATTTGTTGAGTCAAGGAAAATTCTCAAGGATTTGAACTTGATCACGTAAGAAAATATAAAATAATTAATACTGTAATTTATCTCTTACTTGCATCCTTTTTGCTTTACTTCTGGGTAAACTAAGTCCAAAAAAGGCTAAATTATTTATCTTTTTGTTGCAATTATGGATTAATTAATAATTATATTATTTGCTGCAAATAACAATGAACTATTTTTTTTTGTTAAAATTAAAAGCAAAATTACCCTTTTCATCTTTGCAATTATCAATAACTTTTTTACATGATGCTGCAAGTAAGGCTAAATTATCATTTTTGTTACGTAAACTAAATACAAAATATCATTTTTAGTGTTGCAGAAAGGAATAAATTATACATATTTTTGCAAAAAGGGCTTATCTTTTATACTGTGGCAATTATATTGAATAATTGAAAAATTAGTGATGACGTATATTTGAAACCAGGGTTTAAGCCACAAGCCAAGTATTCATAAAATTTGGTCAAATTGAAAGTTATAGAATAAAAGCTTTATGTAATATATTATGTGTACATATTTATAAAATGGCAGCCCTTAGTTTGTAGACTATCACAGTCTTCAGACAAACAGGGGAAGGCAGGTTGCCATAAGCCACAACTATTTTTTTCTTCTATGCCACATATATTTTGTCTTCCGGCAGCAACATGAGCCACAACTGGTTCGTCTTCTATGCTACAACATGTTTGTCTTCCAGCAAATTTTACCATTAAAATTATAAGTTTAGTTCATTCAAAATGCAATTTTCAAACTCAAGCCATATCATGAAAAGTATATAATATAAAGATCTTTATTGCTGCCAGAAGACAAAAAAAAAATAATATGTGGCATGGAAGGGAAAATAGTTGTGGCTCTTCAGACTCTTGAGAATGTGAGATTGATGATGACACTAAACTATAGTGTTCTATTTAACAGTATGTGTTTAGGTCCTTTGAGGAAATTAAGGGCTGTACTTCTGCTGTGGACTGTTTTATTGAGACCAATGTTCATTTTTGTTCCATTTTGGTAAGATGAAAATCAGATAACTTCGACCTGCTGTTTAAATATATACTGTTGTCTTTAAATGTTGTGTATTTGCATTAATTAAATTAGTTGCTTTAGTTTATATAATGAACAATGAATGAATTTCTTGTTTTTTTTGGTGTATTTTTAAAAATCTTAAAATTCCATTTTTTTGAGATGACATACTGATTTATTCATAGTCGTTTTAATCATAGAACACAAAAGCCTGAAAACCAAGGGGGGGGGGTGAAATCTCTAAACAGGCTTAGAATAATGTTCAAATGTGCGATATACGTTCCATGTTTAGCTAAGAACTTAATGTTCCTTTCTTTCAAGGTTATACTTTTTGTTAACAAAGCTGTTTTAGAACTTATTAATGACAGTCATCGATCAAAAAATATCAAAACACTTTTAACATTTATTTTAAGCTTATGCAATTCTAAGCAGAAAAATTAACAAAATTTCACTATTTTTAAACCGCATTTGTTTAATGTTTTATACTTTCCTTTTTTCAATGAATGGTTATTTTCGTTAGTGAACGATTTCATATTAACAGGTTTAGCTGTTTATTTTTAATATAATTTTCTGTTTATTTATATTAGAATCTTCTGTTTATTTATATTAGAATCTTCTGTTTATTTATATTAGAATCTTCTGTTTATTTACAATAGAATCTTCTGTTCATTTTCAATAGAATCTTCTGTTTATTTATAATAGAATCTTTTGTTTATTTATATTAGAATCTTCTGTTTATTTATAATAGAATCTTCTGTTTATTTATAAAAGAATCTTCTGTTTATTTATAATAGAATCTTCTGTTTATTTATAATAGAATCTTCTGTTTATTTATATTAGAATCTTCTGTTTATTTATAATAGAATCTTCTGTTTATTTATATTAGAATCTTCTGTTTATTTATAATAGAATCTTCTGTTTATTTATAATAGAATCTTCTGTTTATTTATAATAGAATCTTCGGTTTATTTATAATAGAATCTTCTGTTTATTTATATTAGAATCTTCTGTTTATTTATAATAAAATGTTCTGTTTCTTTATAATAGAATTTTCTGTTTTTCAAAAATAAGCTGTTTGTTAACTGACTGTTAATTGCACAGCCTTCTATTTCAGGACCAGTATACCGGACTTGTTGAACTAGAGTTTGAAACCCCAATAGGTACTGACATCTTCTTTACTGTTTTACCAAAAATGAAAGGTTTACAAGAAATAAAAAATATCTAAAATTTGAAGAGTGTCAATGTTGTGCCCAGAGAATCCTTTGGGAGGGACAAGCATTGTTAATGCGGAAAGACAGCACAGAATAAAAGCAAATGGAACCGACTTGGTAAAAAAACCTCTGGTAATTAGGCATAAGTAAAAATGTTCTTATAAAGTACATTTTAAAGTCTTATGTAAAACTGACAATTTGAAAATAAAAAAGTACTTTTTATGGACATTTTGAATACATTGCTATGATCTATTACTACAAAGCTTGATACAACAAATACATTGTATTAATTGCATTACACAACAAGCAAGAAATTTTATCTTAACAAAAAACATACAATTTAAATTGGCAATCAGGAATTAGGAATTGTACGTTTTGCAATTTGCATCAGTTGTTTAGGAACCACTTTTTTTACTTTTTAATAACATATTTTCATTGCTAAGAAGAAGTAGTAAATAAGTGGAGGTATTTTTCATTTATTTTTTCATTCTTTTCTTTCTACAGTCCCAATAGCCAATCAGATTTTAGATAGTGAAGATAGATAGATACTCAAGTAATTACAGTATAAGGAATTAAAACTTAAACGTCTGTTTATTTACAAAAGTTTAGAGGTTAATGAACAAAATGATCTAATATTTCATTCCCACTTCTATAGACTTATTCTGCATTTAGAGACTTGGCCATCGAGCTTCATTTTGTGCCATTCTGGACACATGTACGGTAGGATTTTACATTCTGGACACATGTACGGTAGGATTTTACATTCTGGACACATGTACGATAGGATTTTATATTCTGGACACACATACGGTAGGATTTTACATTCTGAGCGCATGTACAGTAGGATTTTACATTCTGGGCACATGTACGGTAGGATTTTACATTCTGGACACATGTACGGTAGGATTTTACATTCTGGACACATGTACGGTAGGATTTTACATTCTGGACACATGTACGGTAGGATTTTACTTTTTAAACAATACTGCATTAAGCGAGGGGGTTCTTTTTTTTTAGCCCAAAAGGATTTTAAAAGTGATCGTTAAAGTTCTAAAAGTTTCAAATTGCAGAATTCTTATAAGACATATAAAGCTAAGGCAACATTAACAAGTTGCTTCTTCCAAAAATCTGGAGTATAAGACTAATATTGTTTAGGTGAATGACATATATTTTACCAACATCAGTGCATTTATGCAAGTTTATGACAAGGAAGCCTTCTGTAACCTTGGTAAGCTAGCTCCTGAGTTTGTTATTCCTTCCATGTTAATATTTTTGTCCAAATTATTCATTTTTTGCTTTGATTACGACCTAAATGCACTAAAATTCATGCTCTAATGTTATGCAATTTAAGATGGATCGTTTTTTGGAACAAAACTTTAATAGTTTTATTTTGTTAATGATGAAATATTAATAAAATCGATTTGAATATGAAAAGAAAAAAGATAAAAAAAAACAGTAATTAGAAATGATTTAATCATTTTCAAAATGCTAATAAGATAACTGATTTTTTTAAATTATACATATCAAAATATGAAAAATTACTATATAATGTTGTTATCAGAAGGCCAATTTTACACTGGGAAAATACCCAAAAGCCAACTTATCTCATACAAATTTTCAAACTCACTTCAATATCAAACAAATTTACCTAAAAAGATTTGAACAAAAGATTGTTTTGTCTTCAAATCTAAATTTTGTCGTTTCGGAGAGTTAAAACTAACACTTTTCGTCTTTTAAAAAGAAGGTTTGTTAGTTTTTGAAAAAAGAACCTGAAAGCAATAGTTTTTATATTACCTTTAAAAACGATCATTACATGCAGATCCAAATATTCCTGAATCTATATGTTACCTTAATTATACTCTTTTGTATAACATTAATAGTTGTTATATCATTGTTTAGATGTTAAAGATATAATCTACAGCGACAACTTTAAGGTAACTTTTTTCGATTATGTTTTAAACAGAGGTGGGAACTCTTGTGTTCGATTATGTTTTAAACAGAGGGTGGGAACTCTTGTATTCGATTATGTTTTAAACAGAGGTGGGAACTCTTGTATTCGATTATGTTTTAAACAGAGGGTGGGAACTCTTGTATTCGATTATGTATTAAACAGAGTGTGGGAACTCTTGTATTCGATTATGTTTTAAACAGAGGGTGGGAACTCTTGTATTCGATTATGTTTGAAATAAAGGGTGGGAACTCTTGTATTCGATTATGTATTAAAGAGAGGGTGAGAACTCTTGTATTCGATTATATATTAAACAGAGGGTGGGAACTCTTGTATTCGAATATGTATTAAACAGAGGGTGGGAACTATTGTATTCGATTATGTATTAAACAGAGGGTGGGACTCTTGTATTGTGAGTATCGAGATCTCTGCTTGATCTCAATTTTTTGATTAACAGATTAATTTAATCTTTATTCTAAATCCCTTGAAGGGAAGAAAACGAATAGCCAATCAGAACATCCTAAGGAATTTTGCGCTTAACCTATGTGAGTACAGAGCCCATGATTTAAAAAACTCTGGAAAATACGGTTCGGGTCTAAGCTGTCGTTGGGCCTTATTTACGGCTTGAGCTTTCGGATTCAAGCTGCATCTTATTTTCCATAGCGTTGAGTTAAAAAACCGGTTTAATATTATTTTTGGTGGATTTTCATGGAAGGAATTGGCGTATTTTGATGAGAACAAGACTCAACATTGAGCCTTATTCTCTACTATTTTCATTGGGCCTTACTCCTTAAGTTGAGCCGAAGATCTTGAGCTGTCAATCACGTGAAACAAGCTGTCATCAGAGTTGGGTCGAAGATTGGTTCTGAAAATAGGGTTTCAGGAAAAACGGCTCCAGCCAAATCACAGGCTCAGAGAAACTAGGGATATCGAAAAATATGGTTTCCACCGTAATTCCGGGTTACGGTTCACGTACGGAAATGATCCGGAAATTTTTTCCATTTCCATTATGGAAAAGGTTCCGGAAATCCGGAATTCCGGAACGGTTTTTTTCCGTAAACCGGAAATTTCCGGGACGTTGTTCTGGAATTACGGAACGTTACGGAATAGTGTTCCGGAAAATTCCGGTTTACGGAACAATTGTTCTGGAATTTTTCGGAAAACGTTGAAGACATTTTAAACTTATGTTAAAGATAAAACCAGTAAGTAATAATCTACAGAATAATAGAATGTTCGCCTGGTGTAGCTGTAGACTTGTAGTCATATATAGCAATCCTTAAGTATAATTAATGTTGTTATACAAAGCAAATAGGTTAAATAGTAACGTATAAAATTATCCCGGATTTCCGGTTTACGCAATAAATTTTCGGATCATTCCATTTCCAAAATGGAATTTTTTTCCGGAAAAATGAAAACCCTATCTAAAATTCCAGAGATCAAGCAGATTCTCTGTAAAATTCAAAAGTAGCAATTGTGAATATCTAAACAAAGCAATCAGGATTACGGGGATCCAATACAGAAGTTTCCAGCTCTAAGTGAATAAAGTTATTTTTACAGCAGTGTCTTTATACATCTTTTTCAAAGACAATTTCTATTTTTCTGATCATTTTATTGATCTTCTGATCCGTCTACATCAAAAGTTTCTGATTAATTTTGTTAAGTTACAAGTTAATTCATACATTGTACACCAGTGCACTAAAGCAGACCTTTTCTTTAAATAATATAATTTTTAATCAAGTAAATCTACACTTTTTTTTAAAGTAGTCTCTAAACAATCTAAAAACTCTAAAATCTAAAAAATCTAAAAATTTTAAAAAAATATAAAAATCTAATAAATCTAATAAATCTAAAAAATCTGAAAAATCTAAAAAATCTAAAAAATCTAAAAAATCTAAAAAATAAAATCTTATAAAAATCTAAAAAATCTAAAAAATCTTAAAAACCTAAAAAAATCTAAAAAATCTTATAAAAATCTAAAAAATCTAATAAAAATCTAAAAAATCTGAAAAATCTTAAAGATCTAAAAAATCTAGTGAAAATGGGCTAAAATGATGTTCAACATTACCTTAAATCAAAAATCCACGTTTTCTGTAGTAAAAAATTAGTTAAAAATAAATCAGTAAAAAATCATTAAACATGTTTAAACATTAAAATAAGAGAAATTTAAACAAAAAAATTTCAGGCAGAAGATCCCCAACAATGTCAGCAGAGAAAGTATCCAAATGTTCGGTGAGAATTTTTCAAATTTCAAAGTTATTTTTCAAATTTCACAGTTATTTTTCAAATTTCAGAGTTATTTTTCAAATTTCAGTTATTTTTCAAATTTCACAATTATTTTTCAAATTTCACAGTTAATATCTTTAAATAATTATTTTGTTAGTTCTTTTGAATTTGATTTACAATAATTTTAAGAATATTAGTATAAAAAAGATATTTTTTTCTAGAATATGTCCAAAGGAAGAATTTCTAAAAAAACCTAAAGGAGAACTAGGAGTAGTTCTATTTGGAAAAGGCATGGAGAAACTATGGAAAGGAAGCAAAAAGTCAAAAGATAAAAAGAAGAAATCAAAAAAGAAGAAAAAGAAGAAGGGAAAAAAGAAAAAGAACAAGAAGAAAAAGAAGAAGAGGAAAAAGAAGAAAAAGAAAAAGGACTGAAAATAATTTGTGAAAACTGAATTGGTAAAATAACGTAACATTAAATAAGATGGTGGTATGTTTCATATCCATGAATTTAATTGATTTTTTTATTGCAATAAATATTTTTTTTCTATAGATTTGTTAAGTTAGTAGAAAAGAATGTCATAATTAATTAGAAAAGAGTTTTGTTCATTTTATTTTCCTTTATTCTTTGGATCTTTGGATATAAAAAATCTAAAAAAATCTTAGCCGATACAGGAAATGAAATTTTGCTACAAACTCATATCTTTTAAAAATTTATTTTTTGCAATTTAAGGGTATAAACCTTTGATACAGGGTTACCCACAAAGAATAAGACTTCAGAGACGATTGTAGGAAATTTGTTTAGTCTGTTTTCTTGCATTCAGGTTTCCTTGTCGGCCAAAGCTTGCTTATTTCTGTGTTTAATCTTTTAGTAAACCTTTAGAATATTCATATCAATGCAGAAACCAAGAATCAAGCTTCAAATCGTCATTTTTGTAAAGTTTTGGCTCGTCTTTACAGTTTTATCCTTTGTGGGTAACCCTGTAAATATCAATTTTAGACTATGTGATAGTTTGAAATATTTAATATATAATTTCGAGTTGCAAAGATATTGGGATTAAAAAATTGAGTTTGTGGAAAAGACTAAATTCCTGTAGAAAAATTCAACATTTTTGCACTTTAATGAGATATATAAAAATTATTTTTACGTTTGAAAGTGTTTGCTGAGTACTTAAGAATTCACAAGTTAGGGTAATTTATTTAAAACTCTAAAAGATTTGATATTGCTGATTACAGATTACAGATTTCAGATTACAGATTCCAAATTCCAGATTACAGATTACATACAGAGTATATAAAGTATAACCTAGAACTGTTTAGACATCAAAAGAATAGTTAAAATGTCGTTTTCTTAACCTACTGATATTGGTAGCTTCAGATATCTAGTTTAAGTAAATATTTAAATGAAGCTCTTTAAAATTGTTCACGCATTTCTTTGACTTTTTATTTATTTTATACAATTACTGAAATTTAGGTATTTTAGTATAATTCCCATTAAAAATTGTCAAGACGATATTTTATAAATTCTCTCGATGTTTCTGAAGTTCTTGGTTAGATTGTATATATTCTGTATACTCTAGACAATATTAGCCAGGTCCCCAGCCCTCAGGAACAATAATTTCACGCATAACGGGAGCAGCTCGCACCTGAAATTTGATCTGTTAGACTGTTTTTAAATCTCCTCTAAGACTTGTGATGATGACAAATATGGAGAGAGATTTTGCAGAAATGATCAAGTTGTGTATTTAAAATTTTGAGTTGATTAATTCACTAAAATCTCCGGTTTATTATTATTATTATTTGAAGTACTAGACCGAACTTTCAGCAGTAAGAGCAAGCTGTACAGTACAAATATAAAGACTAAAGACGGCAAAGCAGGACAGTACAACAAATTAATCATCTACTTCTATTGCAAGTATTGTAACTTATTCCTCTATTTTTGCCCTGTCACCCACTTAACCAACTTTATGTAAATGTTCACTTGGCTATCTCACATAATCTCAGAATAAAATATATCTATTATATTATATATAATTACCCTAGCTGCTGGTGCTGTGTCTGGTATAGTCCCTGCTGCACATTTTAACAGAAATTCCTTCATTTCAGACTCATTCACAAAATCTGCCAATTCACTTGGAGTTTTCCCTGCAATTAGAGTTGTATTCTAATATCATTCTTAAATGTTACAGGGTTAACTACAAAGGATGTGATGAAAAAGACGACATGAAACTCTTTAACTATGACAATTTCCTGGTTAAAGAAATTAAGTCTTTGACACAAACTCTGATTTAATAATCCTTATATCTTTAGAATCCAATGTCGTACATCTTTGATATTTCAAACTTATATTATTTGATCTTACAGAATTCATAGTTTGAAATATCTAAGGTCTACGACATTGCCTCCATGACACGACAGCATTTACATTTTTTTCTAAATAGGAAATTTCCCAAAAACCTAGGCATTTGGGAAATTTCCCAGATACCCAGGCATTTCGGAAATTTCCCAGATACCCAGGCATTTGGGAAATTTCCCAGATACCCAGGCATTTGGGAAATTCCCCAAATTCCTGTAGGTATTTGAGGGTGGTATATTTTTAAGATTTTGGAAATTTACCAGGCATTTGGGAAATTCCCCAAATTCCTATGGGTATTTGAGGGTGGTATATTTTTAAGATTTTGGAAATTTCTCAAATGCCTGGGTACTTGATAAATTTCCCATATACCCAGGCATTTGAGAAATTTCCCAGATACCCAGGCATTTGGGAAATTTCCCGGATACCCAGTCATTTGGGAAATTTCCCAAATTCCTATAGGTATTTGAGGGTGGTATATTTTTAAGATTTTGGAAATTTCTCAAATGCCTGGGTACTTGAGAAATTTCACACATACCTAGGCCTTTGGGAAATTTCCCAGATACCCAGGCATTTGAGAAATTTCCCAGATACCTAGGCATTTGGGAAATTTCCCAGATACCCAGGCATTTGGGAAATTCCTATTTTTGACATTTTTGATAATTGCTGTCACTCCCTCCGACATTGGAATCCAAAGATGTAGGATTAGGAAAGCAGAGTTTGTGGCGAAGACTCAATTCCTTTTAGTAGCCATTGCAATGATTTTGCAGCACTCCCCACTAAATCCCACTATTTCTTCGGTCAGAGTACTGCAAATCACTGCAGTCCATGCCGAAAGCTTAGTAGAGAGTGGCAAAGAAAGAAACAAGTTTACAGATGCCGAGCATCATAGATGTTAGGAAACAGACAGTATACATTCCGTACAGTTGTCTTTGAAGACTTATCCTTTGTGGGTAACCCTGTAATTTAGCTTATATTTCTTTTAACATTTTACAAATTACATTTGCTGAAAGAACCCCATTTATCATTTTTAAAATGTTTTGAAAGAAATCAAAAGAAAACATAAATAATAGAATATTATAAGTGTTTAAAGAGCTAAAATGTTGTCTTACTAATCTCATCATTTGTTGAATTAAAAATTGTAAAGAGAAAAAACATTGTCCATGTGCAAGATTGAACAGGAAAACAAAGTTAAATTTATGCAGACCTATGAAGGGCAGGAATTTTTTGCATAATTTAAATAAAAATGCTGAAATGCACCAAATAAAAAGCTTTTATTTGAAGAGTACACATTCTCAGCACTTTCAACTAAATACTTTTTAGGTTTTAATAAAGATTATATAATTTAAATAAATGTTTTCATAAATGACCTTTTTACTATAGATTTTATTTTATGTAAACTTTTTATTCAATTCTACATGGATTAAACTTAAGAGACGACTGTGCGGAATTTAAACTGTCTGTTTCCTTACATTTATAAATCCCTGCAACTTTAAACCTTTTTTTAACTACTTGGCCTAACGATTATATCCATGGCAGAAGATTTAGTTCAATAAGATCGTCATATTTTAAGAGTTAAAAGTCGTCTTTCCTGTCTCATTCTTCGTGAGTAACCCTGTATTTAGGATAAAATGCAATCCTTGCCTTCATTATTTTTAGCTGTTAGGTTAGCTCCAGCCTTGACTAGAAGAAGTGCTACCTCTCCTGCACCATCCCTGGGAAAACAAATATATTGCTAGATTGGGTTTCTGAAAAAATATACTACTCTCTGTCTTAGGAATTTACAAAAAAGGAGGCTATTCCTCTTTTAGTGAGCCAACTACACATTTCGTTTTTTCGTTGTTTTCAGAATTTTCAACAAAAAAACGTTTGTTCAGTAATTTGTTGATAAATATGCTGAACTACGGTGGTAGGCGATAAAATCAATACAATGAAAACGACTTTTAATTTCAATTTAGATTTATATAAGGCTTTTAAACAGAATGAATACAAAAATAAATGGAGAAAAAATCGAGAAGCTTTCCATTATTAAAACTTTCTCTTTAATTACTTGTAAAGAATTGTCAGTCGAAAAAAAGCATGTTAACAATAAAAACTTAAATAAAAGTCTATATTATATTGATATTATCGCCTACCACCGTATGTGCAACTACAGCTTGATTAAATCAACATTATAGGTTCTTTTATCCAACCTGGCAGCAACATGAAGAGGTGTAAGATCATCTTCATCTGGCACATTTACATCTGCTCCAGCTGCTAGAAGAAGCTTCACTATGTTTGGTTGATTTCCCATGCTAGCCTAAAATCAGCTATATATTAAATACAGAATACCTGGTCTGACAATCAATAAATCAGTTATATATATATATATATTTTTTTTGACTTCAGACTTGTAAACTTGTAAACAAATGATTATGAAAAAATATAACCGATTTTTTTCACTAACATTTTGCATAATGTAATAAAAACGTATCATAAACATATCATTTAAGAATATGCTAGACCTTTTTGTGGAGCCACCTGATGGGACAAAAACACATGGATCTAATGAAATAAACAGAGCGTCCCATATCATATTAGATTATCTCTATGTGGTTTAACGGTAAAATACGCACATAATATTAGCCTTATTAAATTTTTCAAAATGATTCATTCTTCATAAATTTTCTGATTTGTCCCACAAATCGTAATTTAGACCCATTAACGCGGTCTAATTTGATGTGGGACACCCTGTATTAGAGCTAGGTTGATAAACTACATACCGCTGGTTGAAATCCTGAATCGCCGAATAAAGTAAGAGGGTTTGAATCGGTGATTCAGGATTACGGTCTGTAGGCAGTTCAGCAACCTCTCCAATTTATAAAATTTGGTCCCTGGGCAACATAAAGCAAGTACCTGGTACAGTGGAGAAAATCCTTGTCCTGAACATAGATTTACATCTGCTCCTTTACTGATTAATAACTTCACAAACTCCTCATTGTCCTGAACATAGATTTACATCTGCTCCTTTACTGATTAATAACTTCACAAACTCCTCATTGTCCTGAACAATTTACAGATATGCAGATATACATATGTTTCAAGGATAGGAAAGGCACGCTTTGCACCCCTATTGCTTCCATTCCGCAAATTTCTCACAATAATGGATTTGGCGCAGCTCGCTTACCCCTCGGGTTTCCTTTCCACACCCGTTTTGCCTTCTTTACTTCTAAAAGCTTCACATTTTTGCGCACGCTTGGTTGCAACACCTTAACAACTATAACGGGATATGGAAGGGTTGTAGGCAAAATTGGTCAAGGGAATCCGTGTTTATGTAAAATTTTCAATTTCCCGAAAAAGTATAGTTTTATCGTATTTTGAGAAGAAAATTCGCCAATTTTTCCTCGAAAAATTCGCAGAGTGGGTTGTCATTTAACATAACTGTCCCAAGGGACGTCAACTAACTCAAGAATTATCTTTGATTTAAAAGGTATAAGAACTTATGAACAAATTAATGTTTTTTAAGGACAAATTGAAAAAAGAACATAATGACACTCTACCTTTAAGATAGCATAATGAATACTTGATCCAAAGACACCAGCCTCATTTAGTATATTCAAGTCTGCACCCTTGTCAATTAAAATCCTAAAAAATATCAACTTTAAGATTAAGCATTGTTCAAATCAAAAAAGAAAGAAAAATTTTTTTACATTTTCCAATAGTAAATTTTCTGTTTTAAGTATGGACACTTATTTTAAGATCAAATTAGCGGAAGTTGGTGTAAAGAAAGATAAAGTTTAGTAAAGGTGAAATAATGCATACAGTATGCCTAATGATGGGCAAAACGGTTTTTTGCACATATTTTCTTTCAAAGTCTAAATTAGGCAAATTGTATGAATTAGGCTAATAATCTTTCAATTTTTTTAAAATTGAGTCTTAAGGTAGGGTATTTGTTGTTAGGTAAAATAAAGATTTTAAAAACGTTATTTCCCAATAATATTTGGTTTACCTGGCACATTCAAAGTGTCCATTAGCTAGAGCATGATGAAGAGGTGTAAAAGAAGCATCATAGGTTGCTCGGTTTATATCAGCTCCTGCAGCTAAACATTTCAACAATAGCTAGAGCATGATATAAAGCGGTAAAAGTAGCACCATAGGTTGCTCGGTTAAAAGGATTATTATCTAATATAAAAAGGGATTATTACCTAGTATGAAAGGGAACATTTCCTAGTATTAGAGGAATTATGATCTTGTATTAAAGGGATCATTACCTAGCATTAAAAGGATTACTACCTAGGATTAAAGGGATTATTACCTAGTATTTAATGGATCATTAGCTAGTATTAGAGAAATTATTACCTTGTATTAAAGGGATCATTACCTATTATTAAAGGGATCATTACCTAGTAATAAAGGGATCATTACCTAGTAATAAAGGGATCATTACCTAGTACTAGTATTAAAGGGATCATTACCTTGTATTAAAGGGATTATTACCTAGTAATAAAAGGGATCATTACCTAGTATTAAAGGGATCATTACCTAGTATTAAAGGGATTATTACCTAGTATTAAAGGGATCAGTTCACATCTATTATTTTCTGCTGCAGCATGGAGTGCAGTGTAACCATAAAAATCAACCTAAAATACAGTTTTGTTCAGAACTACAGTGAGAACCAGAAAACTCTGGAATAGGAAGACGACTTTTAGTCTCATTCTTTAAGGGTGAACATGTTTGTCTTTAAATATTCAATTGTATATTTGAGATTCAGCAGTTGTGGAGCGTGAAGAGTCCCATTTATCATAGAAAGAGATTTAAATAAAACAATTTTCTTTGTAACAACATCAAATTCATTTGATTATTAATTTAATTTCGTCTTCCTATTCCACAGTGTTCTCACTGTATGAAAAGAAATATGTTAAGGGTTGCTAGTATCCAATTCAAATTTTGTTATCTTTAGAGGTTGATTAATGAAAATTCGCAAAGATTTGCTCCTAGCAAATGAGAAAGAAACTGAGGTCTTGCCGTAAACTCCGTTTTCAAATCCCTATCTCTTTGCAACCAGATCTACACCATCAGGTTGCAAATATATACGGATTAGAAAATTTAAGTTTGTGGGAAGAATTAAAGTTCCTCTGTATAAATATGATTTTACCATTAACAAACTATTTTAGAATTTAATCCCATTTCTTGTAGGCGAAAACTAGGTTATTTCTGTGCTTTTTCATTTAGTAAACCATCAAAAAACCAAATATAAAGCTTCAAATTGGTATATTTTTAAGTTTTGGGTCGTCTTTTCATTCTCATCTTTTGTGGGTAACCGTGTAGATTAGCAATATCTGTTACGATAGTTTCGAGCTCTAACATAAAAATATGGTTTTAACCTGATCAATAGTTTCTTTTGTCTCTTTCTTCAGCAGCTCTTTAACCTTCTCCAGCTCACCAGCTGTTACAGCTGCAAACAGCTCAGTTTCCATAATGATCTACAATATATAATGTAGTAATCTCTGTTTATGTGGATGCCCGACCATAACTAGGGTTTCCAGCGAAAAAGAAACATCGGTTCTTGAAAATTTCGCATTTTTTCCGAAAAAAATGTTCGTCCATATTTGGCATTTTTTCGTTTTTCATTTGCTCACGAAAAATGCGAAAACTTTCGCGAAATAGGAAATATTAAAATTTTGCGAAAAACTGCGAACAAAATAATGCGAAAAAATCGCGAAACAAAAATGCGAAAATTTTGAAAAAAAGGAAATTATGCGAAAGAGATAAAAATTTCGCGAAAAAATACGGTCCATTTAAAAGATCTTTCTTGTATTTGACTAGCTCATGACTAACTAGATTGGGGTGAACGGACGTGGACGGACAGAAACTCAGAAAGATAGCTAGAGAAATCACATTCTCTTCATTAAACATTTATAAAAGAAAAGGAAGAGATATTATTAATATGATATAATAAAACTTCAAAGGTTGAGCTCTCAGAGCAGAGAATTTCACACGTTTTTTGTGCAATTAATAGTTGCAGCTACAATACTTATGGTTTCGCGAAATATCGCATCATTTTTGCATTATTCATTCATTTTCGCAAAAAAATGCGAAATTTTTCTTAAAATTTGCGAAATGCAAACAAATATGTTCGCATTTTTACGCGAAAAGTTCGTTCGCTGGAAACCCTTACCATATCTCGGGAGCACTTTGGCTTAAATTTTGGTTGGGGAACTTGGTAAAACCCTGGGAATGTTCATAGCCTTGCTTAAGAGGATTGACTTTTTATGAGGTAAAGCTCTAGGCAAAGCTGGGTTTCCATGCAAATCTGGTCTTTCAACCTAGTTTATGAATGGTTTAACAAATATTAAATAAAATCACAAAAAGAGAAGATGTAATTCTTTTTCATTTCTCTTCTTTTCTCTGTTATGATAATCCGAGAACCTTAAGTCACTTGTATTTGGAATTTTAATTTAAATTAATCAATTTTCAGATATATAACGGGATAACTAAGACAAGCGTTAAAAGGATAATTTTGGTATTTGGGTAAGCACAAGGCTATTATGCAAGGAAAGTTATTTCAGAGGTGTACATATCTTTTGTATTTTAGTGTACTGTCTCTGGGCGGTATTGTAAACACAAGACGGATGTTGAAGCCTGACATGGGATCCATCTTTCATGTAAAAATCAATGAAATATTTTGGTCATAAGAAACTAATATGTGAATTATCAAAATTTAATGCTTTATAGCCTCCTCGGATACTGAACGATCACTGATGCATCTGGATTCTTGTTTACAAATTCCGCCCAGAGAGAACTGGTTTCAATATTTACGCAGAGTATACACAACTGCAATTAACTTTCCTTGCATTATCACCTTGGGATGCACCTCTTTAGATACAGAGTCAATTGATATTACTTTATCAACACATTAATTAAAAGTCAAGAAGTCTCTTAAAGGGAGTGTTCGCGAAAAAAGTAAAAAATAAAGGCTGTTCCTGAATTGAATTCGGGTTTGATTGCTTCTAATTTTACTTTTATATGTTGTGAATAAAAGGAGAAATTGTTGAAAATGTCTTATACCCAAAAGCGAATTGAGCCAATATAAATTCAAAATGAGTTGCATTAATAATGCTAATTTTTATTTTGTCAAAATGACACTTTTAAGAATGTTATATGGGTAAGATTAGAAGTTTAGGTTAAAGTGATTGAGATGAGATATTTCAATAAATTCATATTTAAAAAAGTTTGTATCTAACTGAAACCCTCCTCCTTTTACCTACAATGAGATATTGAGTTTGCATCATAAACTTTTTATTCAAGTAAAACAAGGCTCGGTCGTTTCTAAGTCGTTGCCATGTTGAGTTGAAGTTCTGAAATCTGACGGACACCTGGTAATTTCAGTGAAAACTTTTAAAATTGGTATTTTATACACGAATTTGAGACCAACCAGATACTTGGGCGCGCTTGCGGTGTTCCCAAATCTTTTAATAATGGTTGATAGACTCTATTTACATATCTAGATTATCCTGAATCCGTTGTAACAAATCCATGTAAAAAAGCTATCAAAAATATATGTTTTTTTACAATCTTTACGTATGTATACTATGAACTTTTAAATGTACACACTATTTCGGGGATTACATGTACACAATATTCATTTTGTCCATTCTCATCAAGAAACACAAGACAAATGCAGTTTAAGAGCTATATAAGTCCCCCGACTATATTACTTTCTCTTACCTGTGCAGTCTTGTTCCTCAAGTAGAGGAAAGGTAAGAATGAACCTAGTGTTCTAGCTCATGTATTTAGCCTCTATATTTTACAGGGTGTCCACAAATTTTAATGTCAACACAATTTTAAATAGCCTTTATAAAATGCACATAATTAATACTCAAATTATAGAAATCAGGAAGTTTAGTTTAGTTTACTTTAATCTGATCCTTTTCTCAAAAAAAATTGTACTTCAGCATTTTTTTTGACACCCTGTCAGTTTCTGTTTAAAGTTGGCAACACCAACTTAATGAACAGGGTTAACTCTCAGAAAAAGAGTAAAATATAATTTAGGGAAAAATTCAGGAGAATTTTTGGACTTTTGTTTATTGTGAATTTAGTTTGTATGTTATGGTATCTTGGCACCAGATGCAGGCTGCAGTACGTGTAAAGTACATTTGCTATTATTACAAAACAAGTAATATTAAAAAACTTTAATATTAAAACTTTTAAATTAACAACCATTTGAATATACTAGTTTTTATTTCTGAAAATGATAATTGTTAACTCATAGTTAGATTTTCTCAACAAATATTATTTGCGGATTTATAAAGGTAAAACAGAGAAGAATATGTACAGAATTTAACACTTCATTTATAAGATATTTTTTTATAGTTATTGATAAAATAATTTGTATAACAGGCTTAAAAATAGTATAAAATACACTGTTTCGATCGTTTTTTTATATGTTTTTATAATAATCCTGTTTTAAAATTTCATTTATTTTCAATCTTGTACAGTTGTACAGTTGTACAGTTGTACAATAAGATCATGAAGATACGACTTTGTACTTTCTGTTTTCTTATTTTTCCTGTTTCCTGCAAATGGACACTTTAAAAAAAAATTATAATCGGCAATTAAATTATTATATTTTAAGCAGAAGACCTACGTTTATCCTTAGGATTGTGATATATTAAGAGCTTTTGGTCGTCTTCACAGTCTCATCCTATGTGGGTATTTCTGTATATTTAAACTTTTAAAATATTATTTCAATTCTTACCTTATACAATACAATATGCAAATATTGCTGGTCAACGTGTCACTGAAAAACTATTTTATGTTGTTCCATGTATTCTTGTAATATTGACGTCAGAACAAGACGTCAGAGTAAGATTTACAAAAACATTGTTAATTCTAAATGCCACTCCGCTACTCTATACATCCCTTCCCTCCCCTCTCTTCTTCCTGTACCCCTTGTACCCCCTGTACCCCCTGTGCCCCCTGTACTCACTTTACCCTAACCGTACACTGTACGGTGTACCCACTGTACACCCTATACCCACTATGTACCATTGTACCCCCTGAGCCCAAAATTTAAAAGAGTATCGTTGAACGAAACGCCCGAGTTTCCTTTTAGGGGTCTTAACATTTGTGTAGATTTTGATTTAAGAGATTGGAAAAAATGGAGACTAAAAAGAAACTGAAAAAGTAACATTTCTTTACAAAAATATTGATATTCACAAAACCCCATTCGTGAAACCCAGGTTTTAAAACTGGTTTTCATAATGATACCCTGTCTTAAGTTTTGGGCTCTGTATAGTAAATTGAACATAAGATTAAAACCCACTCTACTGCTACTATTAATTTAAAAACTATTTAGAAATTTAAAAAGTACAAAAACCTTAAAGATGAACTTGAATCAATTCAGACTGTCAATTTAGGGCACTTCGTGTCGACCAGGGAAATGTACAGGGTTACTCACAAAGACTGAGACTTCAGGGACGACTGTAGGGAATCTAATATGTATGTGTCCATATATTCATTCCTTTTTTTACACAATCATTAAAAAAAACTTTGAAGAAACTTTATTCAAGACATTAGACTTAATTTAATGTTGGGATAGACAAATAGCTGGTTCTCTACAGTTCTCATTATTTGTGGGTATATTTTTTATTTCTAAAAAATGATTGTGTGTTATTTTAAACTATTTCTATTTTGCACTAAGAATAGTTTTGCTTTAAATACAGGTTGTCCCACGAAATATGACAGTGGGTGAATAGTATTAAATGTCTTCTTTTATAATTTGCTAAGTTCTTTGACACAAAAGAGATTAATTATCATTAATAAGAAATATAACATGGCAGTCATTTTATAGTAAAATTGATTTCTAAGTAAAGTAAGTTGAGTAAAAGATTTTGCTGACGAAATAAACTGCAAATATGCTTTAATATCTAATATAATATATGCTTTAACATCTAATACAATATATGCTTTAATATCTAATACAATATATGCTTTAAACTAATGGCATAAATCTGCAAAATCTAAAAATGCTAATGTCGTCACGAGAAAGTCGTCTTCGAAGACAGAAATTTAAAATTATTCTATTGTTTCTAAAATTCCACGGCCAATGCCGGGAACTTCAGTAAGTAAACGATAAAATAAGGAGACAAGAAAAAAGATTAAGGAGTTTCAGATTAGAAATAAGAACGATTGAAAACCACTCGATACGATAAGAAGAAAACTTTGAAGAAAAATATGGAGATTTCAACGGAAAATAAAGAGGCTCTGGGGCAAAAAAGAAGAAAACTCCTATAAAATATCGAGAAACAGTGGTGAAACGGAGACTATAAGGAAACTATGATAAAAAATGTCTACAATGGCAAATAAATGTAAACCCCGGAAAAGCATGGGCCTCCAATGACAATATAATGCGTATGAGAGGTAAGTTTTTTAATCGAATAAACTGGAGGTGGGGGAGGGGGGGGGATATTCTAGTTTTCTATAAATAAAGGGGTTCTCAATCTTAACAGAGGTATATTTTTATATATTTTTCCCACATTNTTTTAAACCTTTTATTTATCGATTCACAACAGTACCTTTTAAACCATTTATTTATCGATTCACAACAGTACCTTTTTAAACCATTTATTTATCGATTCACAACAGTACCTTTTTAAACCATTTATTTGTCGATTCACAACAGTACCTTTTAAACCATTTATTTATAGATTCACAACAGTACCTTTTAAACCATTTATTTATCGATTCACAACAGTACCTTTAAGCCATTGTTCTATTCTCAGTGGTACATATTTTTTTTAACCAATTGTTCGATTTACTACAATACTCATTTATTTATAATTACACACAACTGTTTAATCTTCATTAACAATCGTTATTTATATACATGTACGTCAATAACAATTTGTATTTTTGTAGGAAACCTCGTTACTGAAATATACTTTTTCAAGAAGTTATCATCTATCTGTGTCTGGTAGAAAAGAGTGTTTTCCTTGCCAACTCGCCTTTCCCTCTTTCGAGTATTATTCCTTTTGTTCAGCTCACAAATGTGTATTTAAATTAGAATAATAGAAAATAACATCTAGAAATAATTGCTGACGTTTTGAAAGCGTTTACATATCTCATGTTGAAAGACGACATTTTTAATGCATGATAATTTGGAATAGAATATCGCATGTTACAAAGCTATATTTTTTAAGCATGATAATTTGGAAGAAACAAATCGTAAAAAAGACTTTATTCAGTTATATTACTATAATTAAGATTTTGTGCCTAAAGGGACAGACCGGCTATGTAAGGTAGTTAAACTGAGTATGCAGTGATGTGGACAAATTCTTTAGGATTCATTTGGGCATTTAAAACTTTTTAAAGATATTTAAATCCCGAGTTTGAGCGCAAAGTCGACGTTCAAAATCGTACTTTTGGATGGATACGTTTTCAGAATTGTTTTTTTTTCAAATTATTAAATAACGACGACAAAAAATGTAAACAAAATTCTACAGTAAACTAATTAGTTGTTTAGGAACCGGTTGAGAAAATAAAAATTAATCTTATCGTTGAAAATAATTAATCATGTTCATTTATTAGTTTTTATTTTCTTATCTAGTTTCTCATTATTCGCAAAGATTTTCTGGAGATTTTCTGGAAGTATTATTGAAAAGACGGCATTTGAAGAATTTGTAGAAATCTACGAATAAATTTATAGAAAATAAGAAATTCAATATAATGATGGAAACGAAATAATTGATTCTAGCATTGATTTATTGACAAATTTCTTTTGAGAAATATGTTCCTAACCATCCAATTAGTTCACTGTATAATTTTTACTTTATTTTCCGTCGTCGTTATTTAATAATAAAAAAAAAACAATTCTGAAAACGTACCCACCCAAATTCATGCTTTTGAACGTCGACTATGCACTGAAACTCATCGTGGAAACGTTTTATATATCTTATATGAATCCTAAAGAATTTGTCCACAACTGCATACTCAGTTTAACTACCTTACATAGCCGGTCTGTCCCTTTAAATAATTGGATAATATATGCGATTATCTTCCTATCTGCGCACGAGGTAAAAATACAGGATAAAATCGTATATTTTCATTTGAACGATACATATTAAAAATGTTTATAAGAAACATTTTGAAAATTTTAAACATTATTAATAAAGAATGTTTTCCGGAAACAGAAAGTTTGAGATTTTTGAAATCTAGGTTTATCATCTTAAAATTTCGTGAAATAGGTAAGTAATTAAAACTGTAAGTTTACCAAATTTAAAGGATCGTTTTGTTTTTGAAAAACGACCCACCCGTTTTGAACTTTTAGAAAATGATCTTTTTTTTTAAAAAACGATTTGGGACTGTTTTTTACACGATTGTTTTTTAAAAACGATCGCTTTTGTAAAAACGATTGTTTTCGAAAAAAAAATCGTATCGACAATTATGTTAACGATCGTTAACAAAGGCTCGTTGTTAACGATCGTTAACGAAGAGTTGTCGTTAACGATCGTTTATGAAACGACGAACTTTTTAAAAACGGTCGATTTTGAAAAAAAATTACATGCAAGTTTATTTAATGTCGTTTTACATGAATTTAAAAAGTTGTGGGGGGAGCTAAAACTTCTTGATATTTTCTTAAAAACTACTCAATGATAAGTTCAGATGCCCTTCAATTCGGTTTTCTCTCTTCGTTAACGACCGTTAACTAAGGGTCGTCGTTAACGAAACGACGATTTTTATAAAAACGATCGTTTTAAAAACGACATTTTTGAAAAAACAAACTTTTTGAAAAAACGATCGTTTTTAAAAACAATTATTTCGTTTTCGATTTTTCGTCGTCGTTTTCAAAACGAAACGAACGTTTTTCAAAAAAAAAATAAAACGTTAACATCCCTACTGATGTGACACATGTTTATTACGTCCATTTTCAAGGGTTTTTAAACATATAAATTTTTGCCGTGATAGGGTTAGGATTTCATTGAAAATTTGAAAATTTTAATATTTTTGATTGATTTATGTTGAATTTGGTTAAATAGGAACAGGTATAGGATACTTAGAAGTTAGAACAGTATTTAGAGAATATAAATCTTCTCTTTGTTCTTGAGTACCCTTTAAACCATTTATTTATCGATTCAAAACAGTACCTTTTAAACCATTTATTTATCGATTCACAACAGTACCTGTTTAAACCATTTATTTATCGATTCACAACAGTACCTTTTAAACCTTTTATTTATCGATTCACAACGGTTAGGATGGGAGTAATATGTGCACATTCCCGTGATTTCTTACTTAATATGAATCCCACCTAAATCGTAAATTTCCGCCTCTACAGATATAATGTTATACATTTAAATACCGAGTTTTTTTGCCACAAATTCTAATCTTTGCAACAAGATGGTGTAAACGTTTGATATTAAAACTTATTCTATTTGATCTAATACTACGCATAGTTTGAACTTACGGTCGCAAAGATGTAGGAAATGGCGTTAATTTCCTTTCCTTTCCTTATCAGCTATAAAGGGTTACTAATACCCACAAAGGACACCGAACTTTAAAGACAACTTAGTAACCTGTAAATATAATGATCTGAGGGGTTATTTCTTGTCTTTTTCATACAATATTAAATGGTAAACTTTTTAGTTTAGCAAAGAAAAAAAAACAATTACAATTAAGTTATCCTGAATGTAAGGGAAAAAAAGAATAAGATAATGCACAGAATAATTCTTATTAAAAACAATTAAACAATTATTTTGAAAACGCTTGGCCGTTGAAATATAGTCGGAAAAGAATTGAGTCTTTGCCACAAACTCCATCTTTCTAATCTCTATATCTCTGTAACCGGGTAGTATAAACCTTTGATATTTCAAACAATCAAACATAGATTATTTGATCTAAAATAATTTATACTTTGAAACATTGAAGGTCTACGACATCTGGGTAAAAGATATAGTGATTAGAAAATTTGACTTTGTGACAAAAACTCAATTTATTATTGGCAAAATCTACGAAAGTTTCTAGACGAATGTTCAAAAGATAATAAAGATGAAAACGTAAAAAAGAAACAGTAAAGAGTATAAAAGAAATAAAAAGGATTATAAAGATAAAGATAATAAAGAATATAAAAATAACGAAATAAAGACAAAGATGAAAAGAAAATTGATAGTAAAAATAATAATAATAAAAATGTTAGAGATAACGATAAAAATAATAATAACAAAAACGTTAGAGATAAAGATAAAAATAATTATAAAAATGATATTTTAAAGATAATGGTTATAAAGAGAGAGACAATACATATGAAGATACAGATAAAACGTATAAAGATGATAAAATAAGATAAGAAAGATAAAGATAAAAGATGTAAAGCTATCAAAAAAATTATAAGGATTAATTTATTGAAGATATGGATAATAAAGAGAAAGATAATAAAGATAAAGATGATAAAATAAGAAAAGAAAAATAAAGATAAAGAGCATAAAGCCATGAAAAGAATTATAAAGATTAATTTATTGAAGATATGGATAATAAAGAGAAAGATAATAAAGATAAAGATGATAACGATAAGATATAAAAGACAAAGAAAATAAAGATAAAGCATATAAAACTCATCCATTAAATATCTGATAAAGTTTAATTCAAAATAAAAAAAATAATATTTTGTTCCAGTTTAATGATCAGGATTGGGAATTTGATAATTTTCAGTATTGATGACATTTTCTAACATCCTGCTAAAATTCTAAACAAATTTATGAATACCTGGGAAAATCTCCACCCCCCCCCTCACCTTTCAAACTTAGCGTGACCTAAGTTTGAGGTGGGGGNAGAATTATCTACAGCTAACATGTTGAAGTCAATCTTCTTTGTAAGTATACTTTTTCGTTTTTCATCCACGAAAAAAATTTAATTTATGTTTCATTTATATATAAATAATAAAAATATTAAAATGAGGAACAATAAAGCTAGACTTAATTTTAGCTGACCCTCTATTTATAGAGTGTTAATGTTATTAGTAAAATCTCTATTTGAATAACAATGAAGAAATTAAAGTCCTTTATCTTTAGAGATAAATTCTTAAACTTTCCTCCATGGTCTTTGTAGCATAAGTCCACATGTGTCAACTTAGTTTTTTTGTCCGACAAAATTATTAATAATAGTGATAATTTAAGAATAAAATTCTTTTCTCACAGTGAAAAAGGTGCAATTTTATGTGTTCTCTATTTTCTGTTTTTCCACTTTTTTATTTAATCTTAAGAAACATGTCAACTAATGTCAGAAAATTTCGTTTCCTTTGTTATATTTGACACTTGTGACGTCATGTATAATTGATCCATTTCTCTGTTGCCACCTATTGTACTTCAATCTATTTGTACTTCATAAATAAATGTCTTATTAGATTACAAGTCTCAAGTCCCTTTAAAAGAAAAAAACGTAAACAAGTATTTTATGGTTAGTATAATCGTTTTTAATTTTTAGCAAACTCTGCAAATATGTTTACCATTTGTGTTTTTGGCAGGTGTAGAGAAAACAAATTTAAATAGATCTGTTCTGGATATTTTTGTAAACATGCTTCAAACGTTTCAAAGATACTGTTTTGAGTTTTTTTCTTTTACTCCTGCACTGAAGCAATGACAAACTTTTCATTGCCTTATAAATCTTTATTTCTATTATTATTATTATAGATCTAAATGTATGTCATTGTCTTTTTATCTTTTTTGTTTTGAAACTCTTGTCATCTAAATCAGTTTTTGATTGAATTTTAACCATTTCTTAGGAATCAGTCTTCAGATTACTCCTCCTATTTGATATGTTTAATTCTGTTCAGATTGTCCTTGTGACAGTGGCATATGCTAAAGCAGCAGCAGAACCTAAAGCTGAACCAAAGGCAGATCCAAAGGCAAAGGAAAATTCTGACTCTGGTCCTCATCATGGAAGCAACGAGTACAGTCCTTACAGTGCTCTGGGACAAGTTACAAATATTGGAACTCCAGTTACCCTTAATCGAGAAATGATTGCTTATGCTTATGGATTTGCTGATCCTTCCCTTTACCCCTCTGGAAATCCCAATGCTATTGAGGATCCCACCACTTTCCTAAACAATTACGTTCTCCAGGCATTGAATGCTAATGGATACAATAACCAGTATGGTGGATTCACATTACCTTCAGATCCCCGCACTGGAAACATATTTCCAAGGGCTGTTAATAACAACAACTATGCCAATGAAATTTACAGCAACCTTGCCAGCACTGGGTATACCAATCAGGCTTCCAACACCAATGATATCTACAACAACTATGTCAATGCCAACAGGTTCCAGGCCAATAATCAATTATCTTCCACAGCTTTAAACCCATACTCTGACTCTGCCTTAACTGGAAATAGGTTGGTTCCCCAGACCTTCAGTGGGTATCAAACATCAAATTTCAATACCCTTCCTTCACAATCCAGAAATACTTACACCTTGCCACAGGATTACTCTTACAATGGCATTAATCCTAACTACCAGACTGCTACTAGCAATCAACAGATTCTTGCACGAGGTTTAACTGGTCAACAACCAAGGTTATCAACACAGTACTCAAACTCCTTGAACGCAAATTATCCCTACACAACTCAAGGTTCTGCGTATTCCACCACACCAAGGATAAATCAGCTGTCTCCTCAAAACGCCAATTCCTATCAGACCAGCCTCAACAATGCTGGATACAGATACCAAGGATTATCTAAGCGGGCAGCAGATCCTGAGCCCAAAGCAGACCCTGATCCAACTTTTGGTCTGTTTGATAACTCCAGGTACACCAACCGAGGTTATACCAACACCAGAAGAGGATACCCTACCTACTCAAACTATGGATCCACAAGGCGTACATACCCGAGCAGTACATACTATCCATCCACTGCCTCCTACTCCAACGTAGCATATTCTAGCCCAAGATATGGATATGCTTATGGAACTTCCTCCCCTGTTACTTACCCAAACCCATATGCTGTGCCCTCACACTTGGCTTATCCTGATCTGCTTGCCTATTCTGCCGTCGCCAGTCCTTACGGTTATCCTGCTTATTGAAATCACCACTTGTCGTTTCAACCACAAGAAGATTTTTGAAGTTCAACATTTCAGCCACCACTGAGTCTTTCAGTGCCAACAGTTTCATATTCATTTTGTATTGGAGATTGTTGTGTAGGGAATTTTATAATAAAAAGAGTTTACTTTATATAAACTTTTCTCTGAATTTAACATTATGTATGTAGGTTTGTTATTTTGGTGTTGGGACACTTCATAGATTCAATAGATAACAAAATCATAGATTGGACATTTTATAGATTGGACATTTTACAGATAAGACATTTCATAGACAAAACATTTGTAGACAGAGCAGAGTTTTCACGGACAGGTAATTTATTTGACTTAGAAGAATTTTCATTGATAAGCAATTTCATAAACAGAAAAGCAATTTTTTTCAGAGACAATTTAAGGTTTTGGGTTGGAAAAGTGTCACAACTTTATAAAATTGTGATAAGTTTGATATTTTTTGGATAACCATGCAATATGTATGTATGCATATTCTGGTTTGCTATGTGTGTGTCTAACCTAGGCCTGGGCACTTTGCCGTTAGCGGTAACAGCCGCTAATTTTGTGTGCCTAATATAGCTATGTTCAAATACTAAGAACCTTTTAATAAGATGTTAATACCTTTTTTTAAAACTAAATATTTACATTTTCTTACTAATTGTTTACAATTGTGTTACAAAATTGGTTTTACAAATATAACATTTTAAATGAGTTACTGTTGTTATAAAAGACTAGATTTTACAGAAATTAGGTTTAAATCTTTTTATTGTAAGATTAAGTAATGTTGTGAACCATATCCCTAAAATTTCCCCTGTTGTAAGGTCGTCTCCGACAAACTGTACCTCCGTTAAATATACTCCGTCAACTCACCAAACCAAACCTTGCCAAGGATTTTGCATAAACGTAAACAATAACCTCATGTAGCTAATAAAACTTTAATTGCATTAAAAGAACCCATTTAAACATAATTTCAGTGAATCATTTGCAATCAACAGTGAACTTATTTAACCAGATAAAAATTTATTTTCAGAAGAATTAAATTTGCTTTAGACTTCAATTCAAACAACTTTTCGACCCAACACAGTTTTCTAGATTGTAAGTTCCATTCACAACAGTACCTTTTAAACCTTTTATTTATCAGTTCACAACNTGTTTCCTTGTCTTTTTCCTTATACTTGTCATTTCTTTGTCCTTGTCCATGTCCTTATCCTTGTCCTTGTCGTTGTCCTTTTCCTTGTCCTTGTACGTGTCATTGTACTTGTCCTTGTCCTTGTTCTGATCCTTGTCCTTGTCATTTTCCATGTCCTTGTCCTTGTCCATGACATTATTCTCGTCCTTGTTCTTTTCCTTTATGTTTGTCCTATGTGTTTGAATAAATACCCAAAATCTATCCTAAGCACGTTTCTTTAACCTTTATTCTCTAAACTTTGCTAATTTAAGCATATTCTATTACAGCCCTCCCCCTTCCCCCCTCTCCTACTCCTTGCACAACCTCTCCCCACCCCCTCCTCTCCTCACTTCAACCAAAACCCAAAATCCCCCAACCTACCTCCAACCCTAATACCATCAGTAGGGGGGGATGCTTGTTAAAAAGTCTAATTTACCCCTTCGCGCATATCAGGAATGAATCTGCAAAAAACACATTTCGCCATTTGGAACTAGTTTCTGTCTTAAAAAAGTATCAAGTTATAATTCTAAATTAATCGCGTTTGATGGCGCGGAATGTGAACAAAGAAATTTCAGATTTACATCAGGTTGATGTGCCCTACTCTAGCTTCCCCCCCCCCCCCCCCCAACGTGCTCCGCCAATCTTTGTGCATCCACGCACACTAGACAGAGGTTGCACTGGCGGCGCCCTTGGGAGCACACGGCGGGGGGAGGAGGCGCGCAGCGGCTGCATGGCGGCGCATTCTTGCATCCTCGATGGTTTTGAGGTGCACTTGGTTCTTGGAGGTTATAGAGGACACATCCTTTATCCCTTACTCGTCCTCATTCGTCCTCAATCATCCCAATCCATCCTCATCTACCTCATCTATCCTCATCCATCCTCATATTTCCTCATACATTCTAATCCATCCTCATCCATTCAAATCCATCCTCAAAAGCTCTAACCATTATCCTCCCTCAAACTGTCTCCTTATATTTCCTCATTAATCCTACCGGTCCTCATTATTCTTAAATCATCCTCAGCTCTCCTCATTTTTCTTTGTAGAGTCCAGATTAATCTTAATATATAAATCTATTATGATTAATCTTAATCCATTCCTTATTAATCCAACTGCACTCCCATTATTCTTTATTCCTTCTGCGTTATTCTCATTAATCCTAATTCATGCCCATTAATCCTAATCCATGCCCATTAATCCTAATCTGTTTCTTAATAATCCTATAATTCCCTCTCTAAAATCTTATCCATTCCTCAATATTCTTTGTAATCCAGCTTAATTTTAATAGTTATTCCCATTAATCCTCAACCTCATCCTCATCCTCATCCTCATCCTCATCCTCATCCTCATCCTCATCCTCATCCTCATCCTCATCCTCATCCTCATCCTCATCCTCATCCTAATCCTCATCCTCATCCTCATCCTCATCCTCATCCTCATCCTCATCCTCATCCTCATCCTCATCCTTAACAGCAACAGAAACATTAACAAATATTTGAAAACAGAAAATGTTCAGAAAAATATTCGAATCCCCTATTGTACTGTAGTGTGTAGTGTGTAGTGTGTAATGTATGCAGTATTGAAAATCCAAGCATGAAGAAAAGAGATTTTTCAGGTAACCGTTCTTTCATATTGGTTTTTACCCTTTGAGAAGTGTGTAATTTTGTCTCTCATCCATGGCATCTCTATGAATATATAAAAAATTATTATTGATTAAATTAAATTTTTTTCCCGAGATTTTTGTCTATCGGTTAAAAGACCCTAAGAAATATAATTGTAAGACGCGTCCCGTCTCCGGGTAGGTTGAAAAGTAGGAACGTATCTCCGGGTTGTGCGGAGTAAACCACGGTTCAATTTCTCCCGTATCTCCGCATAATCTGATAAAAGAGGAAATCAAGAAACAAAAAGCAGAGTTAAAACCTAGCTAAGAAGTTTATGGTATTTCACTGTAATTTCAAGTTATATCACATAAAATATTCTTTATTTAAGACAAGAAAATAAAGATATCTTTGAATTTCTCTCTTTAATTGAATTCAACAATTTGCCCCTGTCAACAATGAAGTTTAACAACATCAACCTTTTAACCTATAATTAAGCAACACATGAATTATCAATTATCATATAAAAAGCAAAAGTATTTCTTCATTTTTGGTGGACGAATATTTAGATAATTATAGGTTAATATCATTGTGAATTATGCCAACAGTCCCTTTAAACTATCAAAAATTTAGTAAAATGGATCAAAGCACACAACGTTTTTTTGTAGGAAGATTTTTTGATTCTGTACTTTATTTTTATTGCGAAACCGCAATTCAAAATTATCAATTTACAGACAGAAAAACAAGAATTTCTCCGTCGTTTTGCTAAGATAACGGTAGAAAGGTTTTGAATCAGGAGACATTCAACTTTTGGAATGGAAGCCATTTTATTCGTTTGTAATAAACGCCAAAAAGCCCAAAATAGTTCAGCCCAATTCTCCAGTAGAACCTTTTGAGGTGGTTTAGGAAAACTGATCGAGGCATCTTTTTGCAGTCCGTTTTCAGACATTTAGGGTTGTTTAACGTTTAAACTGCTCGCTCATCAAAGATGCGAGTTGTTTAAGAACGAATTTTATAAAAGTTGAAAAATGATTTTTTAAAACGGAAAACGATTTTAGTGAATATCTTTAGCTTGAGGATAAACACTTTGCATAATGTAATAAAACCAAACTTGTCCAGCGTACAATTTTGAGAAAGAATATTATTATTATCTCAGATTCTTCTGAGATGGAACCTCTAAAAAGTCTATAATGATGACCGGTCAAAATTTAAAAATGTAAATTAAAAAAGTTACATTTTTTTCTTGAATCATAAACTTACAGTCTTGAATTCCTATATTTCTCATCACTTATTCTTTTTTACGCAAACTAAATCAGAAATTTACCTCAAATCGAGCGTATTAAAAACATCTTGAGCTAAATCATTATCACAATTTCACTTTATGCATGCTTGTCTTAAGGAATTGAGTCTTTGCCACAAACTGAAATATTCTAATCCCTATACATCTGCAACCGGATGGTGGAAATCTTGAAATTTCAAACTTAAGTTGTTTGATCTAAAATAATTGATAGCTTGACATATCTAACGTCTACGACATAGGGCACCAAAGATATTGTGTTTGAAAATCAGGGTTAATGGCAAATTGACTCAATTAATTTTAATTAATTTTTATAAATAATTGATTAATGGAATCAATAATTAGTGAGTGAATGGTTGAAATATCTATTCTTGAAATCAATTTAATAGATACATGAGTATCTTTTAATGGACATCCGATTAAATAACTGGTCCGATTTGCCACAAATTTTGATTGGGGAACTCGGTAGAACCATGGGAATGTATTGAGCTGGGTTTAAACAAATTTAACTTGCGAGGCTTGAATTTTATGTTTTATAGCGAAAGTTAAGTTTCCAAGCAAAGCTGAGTTCCCAAGCTAGTAGTAAAGTATAAACACATTTCACATCAAACCAAACATTATGCATCAACACTTATTAAGACCATATTTACTGTAAAGGATTATCAAGGCATAGGTTGAGCTCATTCTAACCCGCATTTACTTAGCTATCAAGTATTCTAGGTTCAACTTTTATAATAAGTTTTTGCACGAAAAAGAAAACAGAAATATTTTGATAATTGTTTGTTTTTACATGGTTAATTTAAAATCTTAAGAAAAAATAGATTTGTAAAGTGACATTTTTAGACAATTTACGGCCAAACAAAACACCTCGGGGCTGGGGTCATGCAAGGTCCCACACTAAAATTTAAAAAAAATCATCAATAAATAGTAGGGCTGGGGTAGGGGTTCTACGAATAGGACTTAGATGTTATTGATTAATTACAAAAATCACGAACCATGACAGAAGTCGTCTTAACCTATCTTCATGTGTATGATTCTTGAAACAATAACCAGACACATTCTCCTACACAATTTTAAAATG